CTTAGCCCTTCTTTGGTGTTCCTGTCTATCTAATTTAGCTATTCCAAAAATCAAATAAAGTTTACATTGAATTCATTTAGAATTCATATTTCACTGACATATACTGTCAGAATGGCACAAATACTTTTAGAAATATAACACTGATGTACCCTCCCATTTCCCATTCCCTGTTTGCTGTGAGACCTGTATTTGCATACCTATTGAGTATCATGGATTGTCTAAAATGGCTAACGGCTGAGCCTTCAGGAAAACCCTTCTCCAACCCCCCACCCCAGTAAAAATCAGTACATCTCCCAAAGTTTGTTCTTTGCTTGAGCTAGGAATATAACAAAGAAATTTGTGAGCAAGCACAGCTACCTTTGGTATAAAGCATGATATTGAGGAACAAGGAAAGTGGAGATGAAAGATGCATCTCCACCCCCCAAGTTAAGTTGAAAAGTTGTCTGATTCTATTTGTTTTCTTTAATTCAGTTTAAGAAGATTGCAGTTTTACTACCATTTTACTTGAGCAAAAGCCTCCCTGAATTCAAGTGAATTCATATCTGAATAGGTGTTTATAGGAGTGCAAGGAGCGATTTAGCCAAACATTATATATAATTTTACATTGGTTAGGGGAAAAAAGGAAGGAATCAGTTGTGGCAATCTGCTGTGTTCTTTGAATAGATGTTTTCTTGTTTAAGTCTCTGCACTGTAATATAGCGTTACCTAGAATTAAGTCACATTCTGGGCTCTTCCTACTCACTAGTTCTTCAGGTGGCATAAAGGATACCAGCATAATGTACTGCCTGAAAGGATTGGTGAAGCACATTACCTTGTATACAAAGTAAAACTGCTATGAATTTAAGGGGAAAGCATTATTGTAAGACCTGACTAGGAATGTTTGACTTAGGACTCCCTGAGGTATTTGCTGGAGATCAATGGAAGGCAAGAAAAAAGAAGGGTCTGGGACATGCTGTGGTGATGTGCAAATTAGGAAAGACCATGGATCATTAATATGTACATAAAGTGCAGCTTTTTTGACATAGGCTCTTCCATGGAGAGGCATGTGGAGCTGATGTGCATAGAAGTCAGTGGTGAGTTTCAAAATTTTTTACTACTGGTTCTGTGGGTGTGGCATGGCTTGGTGGGTGTGGCTTGGTGGGCATGGCAGGGGAAGGATACTGTAAAATCTCCATTCCCACCCAACTCTGGGGGAAGGATAGTGCAAAATCCCCATTTCCTCTCGATCAGCTGAGACTTGGAAGGCAGAAAATAAATGGGGGCAGGGCCAGTCAGAATTTTTACTACCGGTTCTCCAAACTACTCAAAATTTCCACTACCGGTTCTCCAGAACTGGTTAAAATCTGCTGAAACCCATCTCTGATATAAGTGGTGCACCTAATTCAGTGGCCCCCAAACTTTTGAGCACCAGGGACCAGTTCCATGGAGAAAGATTTTTCCATGGACCGGAGGGGGCAGGGTTCTGCATCTCACAGATGGGGCTTTACTTAGTTGCACAGACCAGTTGCTGGCATGCCGTGGACCAGTGCCAGTCCATGAACCAGGGGTTGGGGACCCCTGACCTAATTGATATCTGCCTTATTACTAAAAGTACAAATAATATTTCTTTAGGGCTTCAGAGACCAAATGTGTATCTTGGGGGAGGGAAGAGAAAAGCAAATAGCGTATATTATGCTACCCTGGAAAGCATAATGAAATAACCAGGAGCCTGTACCTGATTTTGAAAATGTTGGCAGGCTTGACTTATTCCTTAGTATTCTTATCAGTAAGTAGTGAAAAGGCCCACCCAGATAGTTAACTATACCTCTTGGGATAAAAGAATATTTATTTATCAATTAAATATCCACAAAATTCCAAAGATATAGGGATCACACAGGATTGTTATATTGTATGTAAGATATATATATGTGTGTTTAACTAATGTTAATTGTTTAAAATTAAAAACAGTTAAACACAGAATGTTGTTTTAATAATTGGCCACCCAGAATCAAATTTTTTAGATGGGCAATTATACAAACCTGATTGATCAATCAATCAATAAATGTTCTACCAAGTAGAGTCCAATTCTCTCCTTTACCTTCCCTTCCACCATGCGTAATTCACTTGAGGCTGAATATACAGGTAGTCCTCAACTTTCAACAGTTCATTTAGTGACCATTTGAAGTTACAACAGCACTGAAAAAAGTGACTTATGACCATTTTTCACACTTGTGAGCGTTGCAACATCTCCATAGTCATGTGATTAAAATTCAGATGCTTGGCAACTGACTCGTTGCAGTGTCCCAGGATCATGTGATCACTTTTTCCAATCTTCTGACAAGCAAAGTCAATGGGGAAACCAGATTCGCTTAACAATGGTGTTGCTAATTTATCAACTGCAGTGATCCACTTAACAACTGTGGCAAGAAAGGTCATAAAATGGGGCAAAACTCACTTAACAAATGTCTCACCTAGGAACAGAAATTTTGAGCTCAATTATGGTTGTAAGTCGAGGAATACCTATACTGTAGGGATCTTTGAATGCTGGGGGTGGTTGGCACTCTGAGACCCTCCCCTCGAACCTTTTTATTTGAAGAAATTGAAACCAGAGACTCAAAATCTTTGAGAGAGACTCAAAATCTTTCATCTTTGTGTTAGTAAAGGTTAAAACATATCCCTGGTATTTTTTGCATTGAAAGACAGGAGGAATTGCTGCTACCAATGATCAGAGAAGCACAGGTTGAACCCATGCCAAGAAACAAACTGCCTCAGGGAGACCTCTCCCTGATTCAGTGAGGGAGGAGGGAAGTTCATTCATATTTGCAAGATCCTGGTACAATTGCTGTTCTTACATACATACATACATACATACATATATACATACATACATATGTATAGTCCCATTCTAGATGTACATTGAGGGTACATGGGGGGAGGGGTCAGCCCAATTTATGTCAGCATGATTTCTTTTTACATCAGAATGGGAAGAAATATAGCAAAGTATCACTGAAGATGAAAGCTTTATTTGCAAAATATTTATGAAATACTGTATGGTGACATAAACATTAGATGAAATAATAAAATCTCCTTGGTTTGTGATCAGGTTGCAAAATTAACCTTAATTTGAAGTGAGTTTGGAAGTTATGGTTTATGCTAACTATGGTTTGGCATGGTATGTGATTTGATAAATTGTGTTTAGCTCTCTGTCTCCAGAAGCAATTCCACTACAGTCGTGATGGCGAACCTATGGCACGTGTGCCCGAAGTGGCACATGAAGCAATGTTGCCTGGCACGTGCAGCGTTGCCATTCTTCTTTCGGATTTCTGGCACGCATGCGTGTGTGATGATCAGCTGGACATTTTGCATACAGCAGTGCCGGAAATTGGAAGAGCTGGTCTTCCGTTTTCCTATGTGAGCATGTGCGCCAGCCAGCTGATCATCTGATCATCCAGAAGAGTAGCTGGCTTAAACCGGAAGTTCAGTAGCTGAAACTAGAAATTCAATTTCAGGCTCATGGATGCGTCCTGGGCAGCTCCTCTTCCTGGTTGTGGACCAGATGCACGTGCACTCCCTTTTCTGCACTCAGTGCCAAAAAGGTTCGCCATCACTGCACTATAGCAACAGGAAAGACCTTATGAGTTCTGAGAGGATAGGGGGAAAATAGCACTCCATATATGTGTCATATATTCTCAATCTCAAACCATATTATCAATTAATTAGCTATAATTCAATTAGTATTTGATGCAATATTGTGTTGAAATGGGTGGCAAACAAATTAATAAATAAGAATAAGGCATTAATGGTTAATGCATACTGTAAAGATATTAACTGCATCTGGAAGTAAAGGCTTTAAAATAAACAGACTTTCTAATCTTTGATATTGGGATTTTACAATTATTGCTACTAATGATTTTGGTTAACTAGAAAAGGGTAGGCTTACCAGATATCTGAACAGGCAAAAGAAGACACTGACAATTGGAAAGGAAGACAAACTGAGATGGAGAAGGAAGACACATTGTTTAACTTTCTTGGCATCTGTGATAAATACTACAGTATAAAACTGCTCCAAAAGTACTTAGACCTACATGCACATGAGATTATATTTTCCAACATCAGAAAGACTGGTTTTTCAATGGCAGGAATGTGCTGGAGGGTTAGGAGACAAACGTCTTTAGCCAGTAACTGATTAAGGTTTAGTCAATTTCAAGTAGCAGAACAGGCTGGGAAAGGAAGGATAGAAATATCTAATTAAGGTCACAAAAGGGAGCTTGTTAACTTGCATTAGCCCTTATTACAGAAGTGCTGTTGTGAAGAAAAGTTGCTCATGAAGAGATACTCAAAACCTGGACAATATTTCACTTTAAGACTATACCTACTGGACAGAAGACATAAGAATAAAAAGGAGAATATGTTCTCCTTTTACTGGACTTCTGGTAACCCTAGTCAAAACAGACTTCCCCACTGCTTAGGCTGATTTATTGTACCAGTATATTGTATGTCATCTAATCTTGCTGAAGGAAGAGAGGCACATGGAATAAGAGATGGACGTTGGGGAAGCAAAATTTTGGTTTAGGATTTTAAATCTGGTTACCTGATTTTTTTTTTCTATTTCCAGCCTCTGTTTAGCTTATTGTTAAAGATAATCCTAGATCAGAAATGTGTTTCTTCAAGGACCTTGTGTTTGAATATTTTAAAACATCATTTGTACTGTTTTCCATTTTAAAAGATTCTATTGAAGTGCAAGCTAAATTGCAATGTTACTTCATAACTTTTCCATGTAAATGCAGTTCATAGTAGTACAATTGTGGGATCAAGATAGTTGTGAATCATATACAGATTAATGTTTTGAAAGTATTATGAATGATTTTTCCTTCAATTAATGTGTCAATCTGTTTAATGATCTTAAAGCGGTATAGAATAATAATCAAGAAGGGTATCAATTTCTAAATGGTTATCAAGCAACGATTTATACTTCATATAAAAATATATTGTACTCTTCTTCTATTTTTTTTATTCTCAAGCAGAGAGATCTGATGGAATGTACGAAGCTTCCTCATTTGCTTCCTTGTTATTAAAGAATAAAAATTGTTGCTATGGAGAAAGAAAAACTGGAAGAGGTACAACGACACCATCGTGGGAGATCAGCCAATGGTATCCAGAAAGATAGTCCTCCACAGGCAATATCAAGCCTGGACTTGATCTCTGATGATGATTCTGAGGCATCTGACAGTATAACTGAGAAAGAACCAAAGACACATTACATTCCTATTCGAAGAAATTCCATATATTATCGTTCTATCAGACGTCAAAACAAAAAGAAAGCAAGGAGTAGTAAAGAAGTTCAAACAGAACGTTTTGAAGGTAAGTAGCTGCCTAAGTGAATAGCCTTATTTCTTTTCCCACTGAGATTGAAAACTATGGATACTAATAGGAAAAGCAGGGGGAGTGAGACAATGTTAGTCTACAAGGACTCTAGAATCTGGGTGTCTGCCTTCAGACAGCTATAGGGTATCAAGTTACAGTAAATCTGAAAGGGAAAAAAAAGGTTTGAAAAGAGAAAGTCAAGCATGGCAAGATCTGATAAATTTTATTTAAATTGAGTCTAATTTACTTTGCCAAACCTGCCGCAAAGGAAGGAAAAGAAATTACCACAATATTTTATACAAATGAGGAACCTTCATATTTTTACTCAAAAGTAGAAATAGGATCATAGAAATGAATCTTCAAAAGCGTAATAGAGTATTATTTTAAAATTTTGAGATATAAGTAATTCAAATCCATACACATTTCTGTCCCTCAACATTACAAATAAATTTTTGTATTAGCATCTATGTACACAATTCAGGGATTCAAAATTATTTACTTATTAATTTATATCTTGCCTTTATTATTTTTATAAATAGGGTGGTCAATATATCAAATACACTTTCCTTCTCCTATTTTCTCCCTAACAACAGCCCTGTGAGGTGGGTTGGGCTGAGAGAAGACTGGCCCATAGTTATCCAACTGGCTTTCATGGCCTAAAGCAGGACTTGAATTCATAGTTTTCTGGTTTCTAGCCTGGTGCCTTCATGACTAGACCAAACTAATGGTTTTGTTCCTGCCAAGAAGTGTTACTCTGATGCCCACTTGAAGTCCATTATTTTTCCACAAGAGGAAGGAGGCCACCTAAGAAGCAGCAGTGTTTTTACCTTCCTTGGGACAGATGTTCATCTTGCTCTGTATGACAATATAGGTAGTCCTCATTTGTTTAGGGACCATTTGTTTAGGGACCGGTGCCTGGAGGCTGTGGCGGTCTGAATGGGAATCAACAGGCTCAGACTTAACCTAGACAAGACCGAGTGGCTGTGGGTATTGCCTCCTAAAGACTATGTCGACTGTCCATCCTTGGTTCTGTGTGGGGGGGAAGAAACTGTCCCCCTCAGAACTAGCTCGCAATTTGGGTGTCCTCCTAGACTCATAGCTAAGATTAGAGCAACATCTGGCAGCTGTAGCTAGGGGGACCTTTGCACAGGTTCACCTGGTGCACCAATTGCGACCCTACTTGGATCAGGAGGTTCTCCTCACAGTCACTCATGCCTTTGTCACTTCACAGTTAGATTATTGCAACGCGCTCTACATGGGGCTACCCTTGAAGAGTATTCGGAGACTACAGTTGGTCCAGAATGCAGCTGCGCAAGCTGTCGTGGGTGCACCTAGATACACCCACATTACACCAATTCTCCGCGAGCTGCACTGGCTTCCTATTGGTCTCCAGGCACAATTCAAGGTGTTGCTTATTACCTTTAAAGCCCTACATGGGTCAGGGCCAGGCTATATTCAAGACCGCCTTCTACCGCATAGCTCCCAGCGACCAGTAAGATCTCATAGAGTTGGTCTCCTCCAGGTCCCGTCAGCTAAACAATGCTGGCTGGCGGGCCCACGGGGGAGGGCCTTCTCTGTGGTTGCCCCAGCTCTCTGGAACCAGTTACCTTCTGAGATCCGGACTACCCCCACCCTATTGGCCTTCCGGAAAGTGGTGAAGACCTGGCTTTTCCAGCAGGCCCGGGGCCGTTGATCTCGCTGTTACAATCTTGTGAGATCCGGCCATTGAATGGTGTGCATGGACTTTTAATGTTTTTAAAATGTTTTTATAACGTTTTAAAATAATTTTCCTATGTTCTTTGTTGTATTATTTTTTGCTGTAAGCTGCCCAGATTCCCTTTGGAGTTGGGGGGCATAGAAATTTGATAAATTAAATTAAATTAAATTCAAACTTACAATGGCACTGAAAAAACTGAGTTAGGACCAGTTCTTGCCCTTACCACAGCATCCTCACAGTCTTGTGAATCAAAATTTGGAAACTGGCATGTATTTACAGTGGTTGCAATGTCTCAGAATAATCACCATTAGTGATTTTCCCAGCTAGTTCCAACAAGCAAAGTCAATGGGAAAAACCATGATTCACTAAGCAACTGCAGTGATTCATTTAGCAACTGTAACAAAAAAAGATTGTAAAATTCCACTTAGCTGCTGCCTTGCTTAGCAACAGAAATTCTGGTCCCAATTGTGGTCATAAGTTCAAGATTTCCTCTATCATATGTTATAAATGACCAGGCCCATTCCTTATTCCTATGGCATACAATGTAGATCTCTCTGTCTGTCACTGTAATATTGCATGCAGATGGCCAAAAACTAAAACCTACTATTTAATATTCTGCTCCTGTCCTGAATATAGTCTTTGGATAAAATAAGCTTTTCTGTGTGCAAGGCAGACATCTTCTCCACCCTGTCAAAGCACTGTGCTGACAGGATACCATACAGCTTTCCTCATTGAATCACCTGGATTCCAGAGACTCACTGCACCAAGCCTCTGACCGGCATTCAGCAGAGTCATTGCAATTGAAAACAACCCAACCCTTTTGAAGTCAAGTACTGTAGAAGAATCTATTTAGGAAAAAAAGCCTGCTCTCCAGTGGCTGGAGGGCATAGCCTTGAAGTTTTGCTGTCCTGCATATTCTCTGCTTTTTCTTTGTTGAACCAGTGCTTGTTCACCTAAAAAGCTGAAGAGGAATCCATACATTCTCCAGAACTCCTGGCTTCATTAGGAGGCAGTGAGTCTCTGTCTTTCTCTCTCAGATAATATTATTCAAACTAGGGAAGAATAAGTTTCAGCCTTCCAATCTCAGTGGATTACTGCCTGCCCCCATAAAATCTAAACATTTGGCCAATGGGGAATCACTTCTTGCAGCGTTGGCTAAAATGAATGGACAATAAGAATGGGTGAGCTTTTTTATCTTTTAGCTAATTCTTTGAGAACGTTGAAATATTGTTTGTTAACAAAACTGAGTCAGTCTCTGTTACTATACCGTTGAAAGTGAGCATTTGATTTCTTTGGAGATGAGATCTGATTGTATTTGTTTTTATGATTTATATTCACCTTTCCTGCCAGTAGGAAGCCATTGTTCTTTTGGGGGGAATGGTAGTAGGAGAAATAATGTTGTCTGCTGCCAAGGTTAAATCCAAATGAAAAATTATTGTCTTGTACAAGGAAAATTAATGGGTTTGGCACAGGGAGGGTGGAGGCTAGCTGGAATAGCATGGTTAATTGGCCACAGGATCAATTGTGTCCTAGTATGAAGGTCAAAGGGGTAGCTGATTCTGGATTTACACTTTTGTTGGTCAAAAATAAGGACAAACAGGACACATACAGTGAAATGAAAATGTTTTCTAAACTTATAGGATGAGATGTTGTGTGTAAAGAAAGCAGGTTTAATAGTAAATAAATAATGCAAATGCTAAATTGAACATACATGAGTATATTTTGAAAATAGCTGAGATAAAAAAACAAGATTCTTTTTACTAGTTTTATTTAAAAAGTTCATTTGAGTCTTATTACCTTATGTAACATATTCAGTGCTGCAGTCATAAGAATGAACACACCTCTCAAGAGAATAGTACATTTTTAAAGCACCAAACCTTGCTTGCAGAATGTTGTATTCATGTTAGAAAGGTGACAAAGGCAGCATAAAAGTGATGCGCAACAAATGACCAACAAATGTATATTTAATTGCAAAATAAACTGTTAATAAAGGGCCCTAAAATATAAAGTGTCACGGTGCATTTACCCCATGAATCAGATTAGGTTACATTTAGTACTCATTTTAACAAGGAAGGACAGACTTTTAAAATAATATTGTTCTGCCTAGAGTAAGGCTGCCAGTAACCAGATGAAAAAGGCACAAAAATCAATAACTAACAGGAGGCTTATGCATAAGATTCAAAGGAGAAGATAGGAAAAGGCAGCCATTTCCAAAGGTACTTCCTGTGAACTGGAGTATCAATGGAGAGGGAAGATAGGAGCATGACAGAAGACAATAATGAAGTGATTCAGAACTGAGTTCTTGTAAAGTTAGAATTGTGCCAGACATATTCCAGTTGTCAGCTATTAAGGAAGCGTGAGCTTTTTTGTGAGCAGCCAGAGAAGGATTTATCTGGCTTTTGGGGAGCTGCCCACCTCCAGGTTTTGGCATGGGATGGCAGTGGGAATGAGAGCAGGTAAGAACTTTAAGTAGGATTAGCCTACTTGGCAGCTGCCTTTGGAGTAACCACACAGACCAGGGGCCATTTTGCCAGTTTCTTCCATCTTGGTGGGTTGCAGCTCTTGTAGATTGGTGGGGCTCTTCCAGATGAAAACAGGATGGTCTAGGCTAGGGTGAATTGGGTTGTGTAGAGTGGGTAGCATTGACATGACGTTTTGCAAGATGGTGAATTGGTTCCTGAGTAAAGGGATGTTGAGTGTGAGCAGAAGCATCCTTGAGACTGGTACCAGTTGGTGTTAATATCGTTGATATGTTGGGTGGTATGTTAGTGCTCTTTGGCATAGGAGTAGAGAAGCTAGGCTCAGAGAAGATTGGGTGGGTAGAGAAGGAGGGACAGGCAAGGGTAATGATTAGAAGGGAGGGATAGAGTGGAAGATGGGGGATGGGCTCTTCTTAGGGAAAATGACCTCTATGTTTTGAATCAAAGCATCTTCCAGCCCCTTGTAGTCTGCCCCAAGGCCTGGTAATCAAGGCTGAAGAGACACTGGCTCCTGACTGCTGTTATTTAATACACAGTTAGCCTGTAATAAAATTGGCCTCACCCATGATTTAATTGTGGGTGAGAAATCTTGTTTGCAACACCAAAACCTGCCTCGGTCCAGAGGGTGGGTTTCCCTCTCTAAAGTTGTCCTTCTGTGTTTTGTGTGTAGCATCAGCTGCAAAGTCAGAGTCAGGATAGAGGTTTGGCAATTGTTACCTGAGAATCCATAACAGCTATCAGAGGCACTGCTCCACAGATTGTCCAGTGTAAGATCCTTTTTATAATATTGTACTATAGGGATCAGAAGGGACTGTTGCTAGCACTGATGATCTATGTTGGGTATTGAAACATCTGCAAGAAAACAATCAAGCTCAGAAAGCACCAAGGATGCCTCATTTTAACCATGAGCTATAAATATTCTCTTTTATTAGTATTCTTGGGTAGCAGCTTTCCTGCTATATACCAACCTCCCTAGTGGAACTGCTAGAATCTGTGGCTTGGTTAGCATTGGAGTTCTTCAATCTTAAACTTCCAGGGGACTTCAGGGAACTATTTGCCATCTTTGGGTATAGACCTGGTTTATGAAGTGGCTTAGCAATTCATGGTTACCATGGCAACTGTAGACCTAACCCAAATTATCTCTGGCTTGACTACAACAAAAGGCATATAGTAGACCTTGTTTTTAATCTAAAGGCACTTGGAATGGGATCCGGAACTGGTGATGTTACCATTAATCCCTTGCCATGAATAGATCACTCTCTGCTGGCTCTGGAGTTCTGTGGCATCATCTTTGCCTATAAGGAAGCAGGACTTATCAAGTGATTTACCCCAGCATCTGATAGACTCTACTGAGTTCCAAAGAGAGCTTGGGCTTGTTCCTAGGGCTCTGGTAGGGTTTGACTGAAGCTTTAGTTGCTGCTTGGAATGTAGGTAGTCCTCGGCTTACAACAGTTCATTTAGTGCCCATTCAAAGTTATAACAACAGTGAAAAAATTACTTATAACTGTTTTTCACACTTATGACCGTTGCAGCATTCCCATGATCATGTGATCAAAATTCAGAGACTTGGCAACAGACTCACATTTATGACAGTTGCAGTGTCCTAGGATCCTGTGATCACTTTTTGTGACCTTACAAGCAAAGTCAATGGAGAAGTCACTTAACAGCTATGTTACTAACTTAACAACTGCAGTGATTCACATAACGGTTGTGACAAGAAAGAAGAATGGAGGGAAAATCACTTAACAAATGTTTTATTTAGTAACAGAAAGTTTAGGCTCAATTGTGGTTGTAAGTAAAGGATTACCTGTAATAAGGTAACTTTGGCTTTAGTTCTAAGTCATGCCCATGCAGACTTTATGTCCATGGACTCCAGAAGGCTTTCTGGTTTTCAAAGGAATCCCAGGTGATGAATTGATGTAAGAGACACCAAGAATGTTGCTGGAAGAAAACAAAGAACAACACGGGAAAGAGTATTATTTAAGGATTAGCTCATGGCAATAAGGGTGTCACAATGTAGTTATTTCTCCACCTTTATTGCATCTGCAGAGTACCAACCAATAGCTCTGTTTAGGGTAACCAGGACTTTCCTGGGTAGGGTAACCCCTAAAGATTATTCTAGGCATCTGTCAGATAAAGTTGCTCAGATTCATTAAGAGTTGTAGAGGTCTATGGAGTTGCCAGAGGCAGTTGTCTTGGAGGAGTTTAAACCTGTTGGCCCTAATTAAGATAGACAGGATCTTTTACTCTGTGACTTTGGCCAACTGTGTATTAGATCCATTACCCTCCTGATTGATTAAATTCTCCCAGTAAAAGACAAGCAGTTGGATCCAGGAGGTGAGGAATGCTTCTAATTCCTGGACAAGGAGGCCTTAATCACCTCTCATTTTGATTACTGTAACAAATTTTAAATGGGGCTCCCCCTGAAGAGCATTTGAAAGCTGTAGTGTAGATGGTCCTGAAGGTTGCAGCTCAGGTGGTTTATGGTGCCTCACGGCACACTAACATAATGCCTCTGCTCTGTGAACTGCGGTAGCTCTCAATAGGCTTCTATTACAATTCAAAATGTTACATATTACCCAAAATGTTCTATAAAGCATAGGACCAGGCTATTTGTGGGATTGCCTGTCCCCAACTAGTTCTAGCAGGGAGAGCCCTTCAATCAATCAATGCCAACTTGTTGGACCTGCAGCTGTACTTTCTCCATGGCTGCATGCATCTGCAGAGAACAGCATCTCCTCCCAGTGGATGGCTCTGTTAGCCTTTCATAAAGCATTGAAAACCTGGTTGTTCCCTCAGGCATTTGAGCTAGTAGGTTAAATGCATTCTCTTGGTGATGTGGCTTTTTATTTTGAGTTTTATTGTTTAAACCAGGGCATCATAGGTTATATGTTGTGTTTATGGTTTAAATCTTTGTATGCCACTCAGAATCACTGCTGTGACATAGGCAGCTTTATGTATTTTTTTATAAATGTATTTTTTTTAAAAAAAATGATATCCTTACTTTTCCATTTGAGCAAATTTGACCATAACCATCCTGACTCCTTTCTACTTCTGTTTCTGGGACTACTGATGTCTACAGTACATCCAATTGTTAGTTTTTTCCTCTGAAAGCATCACAACACACATTACTTTCATCCGTCTGTTCCATAAAGCAAAGGATATTGAAAGCTGCAATCAGAGAAAATATTTCAAACAATATATTTCTTTCTCTGAAAAGAATGAGGTCTTAAAGCTTAAGATTTTTGTAGGATAATAGCTTGGAAAATGTTGGAAAATGTATAAAAAGATGCATCAGTGTTGCCCATTGAACGTAATTGTCATCTCTTTCTTGTTCCTCTTGCAAATACTTACTTATAAACACTTTTTTCTTGAATGCAAAGGCTCACTCAAAAATGGTAATACCAAAAATGAGCTTCTGAACAAGGAGGAACTGTTGCATATATTTCACAAGAGTCTGTCTCTACACATAAAACCGAATATGACAGCCACAGAAGAACAATGGTTTCAAAGGTAAGAAAAATAATATCTTATTTCCCTGAAAATACAGAAATAAAATAGAAAGGGTGATATTATTTTTATTTTATTAAGATTAAAATTGGTTAGTCAATATTGTCCTCCCATTTTGATTTCTCTATTTTTTTTATTTCTTTATTTTTTTTTTCTCCATCCTACATCTTAGTTTGGTTCAGTTCAGTTATTTATTTATTTAATCTCATTAGCCAAATTGTTTGACTTCTGACAGTCAAGACTGGCATATTGTCTAGCAGTGCAGAGTTTCAGATGGCATTATAATAAAGAACAAATGGAAGCCAGAATGGAAACCATGATGATATAGGAATACTTTTAAAAATACTCCTTTGGTTGGCTACATGGACTTCCAACAAATTAGAAAAGATGACAGGATTCTTCGCACACCTTGGTCACAAGTAGGGTTGCCCACTGCAACAACCCAACCTTCTCCACGGCCTATCAACCAGTCAATCTGCCTGCTTGCCCATCCCTGTATAAGTTAAGAGGGTAGACTTTGATTGTGCCTGCTGGCTACCTATGGGAATGATGGTCTAGGACAGCAGTGGGCAATCCAAGGTGCTTTCCAAAGTGTGCAGGGCCAAAATATTTGTCCCAGTTCTGAAACTGTGTGGAGAAGGACCCAAAGAATATCATAGATGTCTTAAGTTCTACATAAACTTTTAAAGGGCTGATTTTCCTCCATTCAAAGAAGTCTGAAGAGAATATAATCTTTTTAAAAATCCACCTCCCAAAAAAGACACTTTTTTGATCCTGACCACTCCAATAATTCCTGAATTCACTCAATGGGCTTTTTAAGCTCAACAAGAATTGCTAATTGTTGGCTTAGGGGTCCCAATTTCAGTTTATCCCAGAAGCAAACCTATTTCAACTTCAATCACTTAATATTGAAATTCAGATATTGCTTCAAATTTTCAGAGAATTAGAATCCTCACTTTCCTCACAGAAAGCCTTCCACTGATCTCAAACCTAACCTAACCTAAAGCAGGAAGAACTGTGACAGAAAATGCTGAATGATTCCAGCCACTAAGGTGTCAGAATAAAACAGACAAGTACTATTAGAAAAGGTGAGGAAAACATGGGGAGGAGGAGGAGGAGTTAGAGCAGTTGAGAACATAGCACATAATTCAGGATAAAAAAGTTGTATAAAACAGCTTCCAGCTGCTGGAGAAGAGAAAGAATACAGGTAGTCCTCGACTTACAACGGTTTATTTAGTATCCGTTTGAAGTTTCAATGGCACTGAAAAAAACTGCCATTTTCTTATGACCGTTGCAGCATCCTCACAGTCACATGATCAAAATCCAGAAGCTTGGTGACTGGTTCCTATTTATGACATTTGCAATATCCTAGGATTATGTGATCACCTTTTGTGACCTTGTGACAAGCAAAATCAATGGGGAAACCAGAGTCACTTGTTCATGTTTAAAGATTCGTGTCCTTTCCTATATTTCATTTAGGATCCAATAGGTATTGAGTTATAAATAGTTGGGGTTATAGAGATTCTTTAAAAAAAAAAAAAAGACTGGACAACCATTTGACTGGGCCTTGCCTTGAGCAGGGTGTTGGACTAAAAAACCTCTGAAGTCCCTTCCAGCTCAATGATTCTGAGAATTTGAATTCTCACATTTTCTGGAGGTTCAACTTAGCTTATTGCGCTCTCCTGCTTTAGGAGAGCTTAGGTGTTAATGTAAAAGTAGGAGTGTTTCGAGAAACAAAAGCTGACCCTGTCATTTTTATTTCCATGGTTTCATATCTGCCCATAAAATGTGCATGAAATTAAGAATATGCATATTTTTATATCTGGGTAAATCTACAAACCTGTTTAAAAATTTCATTTGATTAGGAAGCTTATAAATCTCATTGTAACCTTAATATAATTATTACCATGACATAGATAAAAATGGACTATTAAAAAGAGATATATGCATGATATTAGACTTATTTTGCATTTGGATCATAATAAGATTTCATTTGGGAAAATTGAGGACCTAGAAGGGTGGCCATTCAGTTATTTATTTTCGTCTTCCATTTGTTGCATTACAATACAGAGAGATAAATGGTTTGACCTCAGCTGGTATGACAAGATAAATTAAATTGTAAAAGTTTATGTAAGAGTTCAAAATGGAACTAAGCTTCAGTTTCATGTCTGGGTTTGAAAGAAAAATTCTGGATACATGAAATGTACTGAAAAAAGTCACTGAAGTAATCACATTGTGAATAAATTAGAACCCATTATTTGTGATCTAAAGCAATTTTTAGACAATTATTTCAAATGCATTCATAAGATACAATCATATTGTCTCTGGAAGAGTGTAGGAAAGAGAGCTTACCCTTTGACATGAAAGGAAGGAGTATCAATAGGGGTTCCAGTCCAATCTCATTGTAGGGCATGGAGGAGAATTCTCAGGTAGATTATGAGAGGCTTAAGATTCATGCATTGCAAATATGAGGGTGACACCCATTCCTTTTTCATGAATATAGCTGAGGCTAACAGTCTTTTAGACTAGTGCCTAAGCAGAGTAATGGATTGAATTTAGGACAATAAAGAGAGATTTAGGGCTTGTCTTCATGTTCCATTAACTGTGACATAAATATGCCCTGGTAATGGTTTATTAATGCCATTTCCTTAGGACATTGCCTGAAGGCACTGACTTCCACAGAAGCATCTGCTTGTTTAATTCCTGACTGCCATTTTCTAAACTAGGTCTTAAATGGCCTCATGTACATGCAGTTTTGATTTTTTTTTTTAAGTGCTAAACAGGCATTCCTGCCCAGGAGTTGGGAAAGGCAAATGACAAAATTCTGTGTTAAGACACGCAATGCACATCCTGCAGTTTTGTACATACATCATCACATCATCTATGAAAAAATGCGGACAATATGGTGCTCCTTTCGTCAAAATGAGAGAGCTAGTACAAGGTGTATTTAAGGAAAGAGAACAGAGCATGCTGCCAGCTGTTTGTTGCTCGCTATGTCACCACTGAGTGAATTACAACATTTGCACTGCTTCTGCCAACAAGGAGTTATTTTTTTATTGCTTTGGTTGATGGAATGCCATTTTGCCTTCTCTTCTCCAGCTTTATGGTCTTCCATGGGCTACTTATGGATCTACCAATTATAGTGACAGAACTGGATTCACTGAATAGTTCTGGCACCTCCATGCAATAGTGTTTGAAAATGGGGCACACTCATTATTGATCTCTTCCTCCAACATCAGTTCCATGTAAGCAACTTCTTAGATGAGCAATTTCTGGACATAAATTTATAGCTAGGCCTGTATTATAGCCAGACTAACAGGTCTGCCCAAAATGTCAGGTTTTTCATGAGAACAATTATTATATAACTAAAGAAGCTGACCATTGTTTTAAAAGGAATATCCCCTGTTTCCCAAATGAATCTGATGTAAAACAGAGCAAGCAAGTTTAATTGTTGAGTTGTAAAACATAGAACCCTATTCAGAAATTATATTTTGCAACTTAGCTTCATTTTTTTCCAAATAGACATACCATTTTTATTTTCATCTGTAAGAAATGACTACAACATTCATTAACTAAATGCCAAATTAGTGATATCATCTCGCTCTTCCCTCTGAAATCCTTTTAAGCATTGCCAGAATTTTTAAGAAAAATAAAGTCTTTTCACATAATGCATTCTCTCTTAAATGCATGTATAAAATGGCCCCAACTCAATTTTATACTGCACCTGTTTAACTCATGTTTGTGCCAAATGAAGTGTAACAGAATAATTTTAATCTAAAATTTCTAACATGGAATATACTTAAACCCTCCAACCTAATTTAAATAGCCACAGAAGAAGAATTATAAGCATTTATTTGAAAAATAACACCATAAAAGCAAAGCAATCCTTGAAAAATATCTGTGAACCAAAAAGGATATTAAAGAGGTTCATCCTGTCCTCTGACTCTCTTGGAGAAACATATAAGAGAGGGCCATAGAATCTATCTCAACTCCAAATCTGTATGTAATAATCACATATAACTATAAACTCTGGCAGAAATCATTCTAATATGTTTAGACAGCATGGTGAAACAATTTGTCTATAAACATTAATATATGTCAAGAATTCCACATGTGGTGGAAGAAGTTGGCCAAATCAGAATCCCCTCTCATACAAGGATCTTAGTATGTATGAATCAGTATATGTGGTGAGTAAAGGAACACGTTATAATATGTTTCTGCCATAATTATATATGTGCAACCATGCATTAGTATTGGGAAAGGGTTAGCTGTATAATTCCACAATCCCCCTCCAATGTTTTCTAAAGCTTTTATGGGCAAAAGGAGTTGTCATCTGCATCTCTCTTTTACCTAAATCCAATTCCAGAAGGATTAGAAATGTTAATGTATCTGCATCCATTCTTTTCCAGGGGAACTATCTCTGCAGAACTGGTAAATCTATGAGAACAATTATGTCAAAAAGAAAATGGGAGTAATTACTAGAATTCTAAAATCACAGTAATAGATGTGTCTTTATGTAGTTTATATCTGGATGGCTCAATGTTGATGGAAAAGAGTGGATTCAATTCTTAATTTTCATTGTATAAAAATAAATGCCCAATATGTGCTAAAATAGGGAAAAAATGAAAATAGCTCCCCTTCTACACTGCAGCATGTAAAAAAAATTAAGCTGGACAGCAAATGAATATAATAATTGCACTGCTAGCTCAGACCTAAAAGCCATCTAAACCACCATCTCAATACCTCTGAGAAACATAAAAGGAAATTGGTTGAGACCATGGAGAATCTCTCTAACAAAAAAAATGGAGAATACAGAAATGGGTTAATGGTCTGGCAGTAAATGGCAAACTATATGAGAAACAATATAATATATTAATAATAAAAATAGTTTCATTTATAAGAATACCCATGACAACCCAAACCCTTATCCTCTTGACTGCATGAAAAGACTTTAGGCTGCAGTAAGATGCTTTCAAAGTCATCTATATGACTCTTTAGATGTCTTTTTTTTAATACCATCATCTAATGTTGGAATAATGCACTATTCTGAGAAAGTTGTGTGTGATTATGACTGACATCTCAGTAGGGCAGTCACAGGCAATTTGGGGAGTAAATAGGTGCAATATGCATGTGGAAAATCTCTCAGTGATTGTTTCATCCTCAATCATTATATCCTTTTGAAACATCTCTATAGATTGGAACATGGGGCATAGTGAGATAGTGGGTTCAATTCAATTTAGAGGAAAGACTCAGAAGACAGTTTTACTAATGAGAGATATATTCCCAACTTCCTGGCCATAACTTTGCGGATCATTCCTCGAAGCTTCCATTTTGTTCTTTCCTATGGTTTAATTATCTGCAGGCAAGGTTTTCTAGTCATGGATGAGAAATCACCAATGTTTGTACTGTAATAACCTGTTCCTTAAGATACTAAAAGTCCTAAGCTAGGATGAATATTGACATATGCACCAATCTGTTCTGCTATTTTCCTTCTAAATTCATTTTCTCTTTCATTCCATTTACTAAAGTTCTCCTGCACATTTTTAAATTTTTGTTTATTACCAAATTCAATATGTTGCAAAATTGTGATACTTGTAGGAAGTATATGTGGGGAAAATTCTAACAGCACGGTGAAATTGGTTATGAAATTAGTTAAATCGGGTTCTCTGATAAAATATTTAGAGATTAGAATATGCAACTTAGTTTTCTTCCAACTAACTGATTGTATTTAGCACAACTGGGTGACCTTGAAAATTAAGTAGGATCAAAACTACTAGTATTTGGGTAAAAAAAACCAACCAGGAAATATTGGGTAATTTTCTACATTGTAGAAATTTTAAAAATATTTGTTAAAATTATATTTGGAATAATAAAATAATGATGCTATGCATTAAGGAATTCCTATTATTGGGCAGTATAAAAATATAATAAGTAACCATTAAGCATGCTTTGGTGCAGGCAATGTCACGTGACATATCAAGACTTCCCCCCCCTTTGCTAAACTAGGCATGGGCGCGGACCAGGAGTTTGACAGCATAGATGAAGAGATCAAATGCATATTTCTCATATATATTGGGTCTTATGGTGGATGGTAAACTCATACAAAGACAGATGCATGCTATTGTCCAGATCACCTAGACTTTGCTCAACAAAACACATTTCATTCATCTCCATAAAAGTTGCCATCAGACAATTTTGCTACCCAGGAAACACACAATATTGAATACAGTGCAGTATTTTTCAAGTTTGAAATGTGAGCACAAGGTGCTAGAATATATAAAGTTGATTTTGCACAACATATTTAATTTGGTTATGGAAATAATATATTTTCATTTATTAATTTTATTATTATTAATAATAATAATAATATATTCAATGTATTTGTAAAATACATTGAATAATAATAAGCCAGATAAATTGGTTTGGCTGCACAAAATGATGATTCACAAACAACCACAGTAAGGTTAAAAAGTTTTCAAACTGAGCATATTGCGTAAATCCAGCCAGTGTTGATGTCAGAGAAAAAGATTATAAATCTTTCTCTCTTTTTCCCCCTTTTTTATATACATTCTACAGCAATGTAATAATAAGCTCCAATTGCTGTTATGTTAACTTATTTTTTTTACAATATCATTTGTCTGCAGCATGTAGATCTGCACAGAAACAATATTTTAAAATTAATTATGCTTGTTCATAAGTGCATTCCTCTTACAAACCGCTTGGCAGACTGTGAGGTTTGGCTTTTCCTCCTTCCAGGTAGCCAGAACAAATTATTCTGTCAAGTTCACTTAAGTTCCCATTTACTAGTGAATTTATAAATTCCCATTTACTAGTGAATTTCATCTGTAAACGCTCATTCTGTATTCATTTTACAAACTTCTAGCAAGTTCCAGCTTTACCTCTTCTAGTCAGTTTCACAGCAGGGAAAGAAAACTTCTAGAATTATAGAAGTAGTACAGATAGTCCTTGACTTACGACCACAATTGAGTCCAAAATTTACATTACTAAGGCAGTTGTTAAGTGAGTTTTACCCAGGGGTGAAATGCTACCGGTTCGGGCATTCTCCAGAACTGATAGTTAAAAATGCTTTAAAAAGTAAAAAAAAAAAAAAAAAAAAGTTCCGACAATCGCACGTCATTTAGCTGATACATCCCCAAGCCTCCTTTTGGTGTGTATTGCACATGCGTGTGCAACATGCGCTTGGCACGCATGCACGGACAGCGAACCGGTAGCAAACCGGTTGAGATTTCACCACTGGTTTTGCCCCATTTTGCGACTTTTCTTGCTGGAGTTGTTAAGTGAATCATAGCACTTGTTAAGTTAGCAACACAGTTGTTAAGTGAATCTGGCTTCCCCATTAGCCTTGGCTTGTCAGAAGGTTGCAAAAGGTGATCGCATGACCCTGGGGCACTGCAGCGCTCACAAATAAATAGCCTTTCTCCAAGAGAGATGGGCGCTTAAGAAATAGAAAATATAAATAAAATAAACGAATACATACCAGTGGCCAAATGTCCAAATTTTGATCACGTGACTACAGGGATACTGCAACGGTCATGTGAAAAACAGTCATAAGTCACATTTAGCTTTAAATGGTCAGCAAACAAATGGTTGAAAGTCAACAATTATCTGTATATGTCTTCCATCATTATCCTACACATTTTTGAGGAAGCATGAACAATATCAGAAAGATGGGTTGGGAGTATGCAATGTTTATTTTATTAGCTCTTTTATTCTTGCCAGGATATGGCAAAAGCTATTTTGGCATGTATTACTATGCTTTGCCCAAGCACGATTTTCAGTTCCAGGTCCAATTCTTGGCAATGCAGTCTATTATGGACAAGGAACAAGTTCAGAGGATGTCTACCAAGATCAAAGGACCGGAAATTAAGTCCTAGGAGGAATAGTTAAAGGAACTGGGTACATTTAGTCTATCTAAATTATGACTGCAATCTTTAATTACCCAAGGAGCCTTTGAGTAGGGCAGGCAGGACTTTTTCTTTGTCATTCTGAAGGACCAAACCAAAACCAGTGGTTTGAAACCATAATGAAATAGATTCAGATATGGAATGTCCTCATAGTAAAAGCTCTCAAGCAGTGGAATAGAATATTGTCACATTTATGTGCTGTCCATTTCACAGTTCAAGGCAACTCTGAGCAGTTGCCTCCTGAAGTGCTTAGTAGCATGTTCTCCTCCAGTGGAAATCTTCAAAGAAAGGCTGAAAAGCCAACCTTGTGTAGTGAATTCTGCATTAAGGAGCAGGCTGGACTTGAAAGGACTCTGAGATCCTTTCAAGATAGTTGGGTATTTCTCCACTATCTTCTCATCCTTACCTTACACTGGCTGTTCTTCTTCCTAATTCTTATCTTCATCCCCTGTTTCTGTTGGCTCATTCCTAGTCACAAAGCTAACATTTTGTACACATTGAGAGGCTGCAAGGTACAACTATAGATGACTTAAGATTTGTCTTAACTTGTTGCCTAGATTAAAAGGATGTCATAGGATAAGAGGAAAAATAAGTCTTACCAATGCATGATTGTGCTGTGGTTAGGTGCAAATGGGGACATGGATTAGGATTTGTATTTGTTTCAGTGAATCCCAGTCCTGTAAAATTGTGAGGATCTATGCATCGGATTCAGGGTTTTGTGCTAGTTCTGCACCTTGATAACTATGCCCCAAGTGGTAATATACATGGCTATTACTTCTCTTTTTCCATAGACAGATGCTATCTGTAGTTTTACAATAGGCTGAAGTGGTTCACGACAAACTGAGATTATCTATTAGGATTGATGCCTTGGATTCACTTTTTGTCCTCTTAACAGCCCCAGATTTAATCAGATCTGTGATTCTTATGGATCTTTCCATGGTAGATTCCATGCAAAACAGACAAATCTATTTTGGTTCCATGTTTCCCCACGATGTAATGCCAACAACGATTAGGAATCCCAAACCATTATGGCCCAAAATGGCCCATTTATAGATAAATGTATTTTGCACTTTGAAAGTAGCTGAGATGGATTCATTTTGGGAAATGAAAATACCATAATGCTGGAAGCTGGCCATTTGCTTCCTATATTTTTATTTTATTGAACGTAAACCACGATTCAGTTCGGGCAGGAAAACTGGCGGGGCTCAGAAAGCTCTCTGACGACCCCCGTCGCTCCCCTGCGACCACCCTCTGAGGAGGCCTTTGGACCTGTCCGGGTCGTTTAGAAAAGCAGCTATTCAGGGAAAGAGTTTCAACTTCCACTTTGGCGGAAGAAGTGGGTGCCTGGGAGCGGTACAAGTACAAGACAAGGAAAAGTGTGAGGGGGCGGCGGCTGCCTCTTTTCCCCCGCCACCGATCTTTCGCTCTCTCTCTCTCTCTCTCTCTCTCCGCCCCCCATTTTTCCCCTCCTGCGCAGGCTGCTCCCTTCCTACCCCGGTTACCGTGGCAACCGCCCGGACTTCCCCGGTCCCGCGTCTGCTGCGGAATCGCTCGGCAGCAGCAGCAGCAGCAGCAGCAGCAACCGTCGCCGCCGCCCGCTGCCGGAATCGCTCCTGCTGCCGCTGTCCTCCTCGCCGCCTCGCATGGAGCTGCTGGCTGCCGCGCTCAGCGCCGCCTGCGCCTTGGACCACGAAGGATCCGCGGAGAGCGTGGCCTCAGGCCGCCCGGCTGGCAGGTGAGGGATTCAAAGAAAAGTGGGATGAGTTCGCGCGTCCTCGGCGGGGGCGCCCCTTCCGCCCCAGCCGCCACCACGCGCGTCGCCGCTCGCTTCTTCACTCCGGAGCGCCAACTCCGGCTGCTGCGCCTTTCCTGGTAGAAGCTCCCGAAGTTCAGTTTGTTTTCGGGCCCGGCTGACTCCCGCAGGGAAAGGGGAGGCTCTGCCGCCCCGAGCCAGCTGGCTGACGCCGGGTCTCCTCAGGCTCTCCCCGAGCCCCGGTTCTCTCCCCGAGCCCCCAAAGGGCGCGCAAGAGTTAACTCCGCCGTCTAGGGAGCCTCGCCCCCGCTTGGCTACCTTCCCTCCTCTTTCCTTTGCCCGCGTCTAGCGCGGTTACATTTCCTCCGGGAAAGAGTCCCCGAGTCCCCCTCCTGCTCCGGGGACCAGAACGAAGGACTTCTAGTTAAGGAGAGCTTATGCCTCTTTAACAGGTAGCGTCAAGGAAGGGCAGCCGGGGGCTGATGGCTGAAGCCCCGATTAACTCACTTTGATTTGCCGTAATTCCGCAAACACTCGCACAGCCCGCCTAGTCGCTGCCTTGGGAAAGCGGGGATTCCGGGCAAAGGCTGGGAAAGAGGCTCGAAAGAGATAAGCTCAAGCGGTGTTGTTTTCCTCTCTCCGTCTACCAAAGCGAATCTCCTTCCATGGCGGGGCCAACTTCTTTTCCGGAGGAGACCCCTGAGCAGACTGACTGCCCGGCTGCTTTCCCCGAAGCTCTGCAGATGATTCACCCCATGACCGCAGACTCTTGGAAGAACTTCATCGAGGAAATAGGTAAGGGAACCCTTCCCATGCTATCCTGAGAAATGGGAGCTGTGTTTTAAAGACCTCCATGCTTGTCCTGTTTGAGAAAAACAGTTTAAGGAGAAGCAAGAAGGGTCATTAAGAACGGGGATTGATAACATTTGGTTCCAAGGGTGCCACTGGAAGGGCTTTTATTTATTTGCTTGCTTGTTTGTTTATATTTAGCATCTACTGGAGGAATGCAATATTAGTTGACATACAAAACTAATAAGGGAAGGGTTCAAAAACAATCGACTTGCTGGCCACAACAAAAAAGGGGTGGGGCCACGATTGCAAAGGTTGCAGCTGCCATCTTGCCTTTTTTGACCCCTGTCCCTGCACCTCTCCCCACACATAGGCTTTCTTTGAATTGTTCCGGTTCTGTGCTGTCACAAATTTGTACAGATAAAAGTTTGGATGTCTTATTGGATGGACATTAGGAGAAGTTGATTCTGAATGACTGTTTTGAAGCAGAGCAACATGCAGAGAAGGAGATAAGCTGGAAACTAAATTGTAAAATTTAAATACCATTTGAATAGCTGAAAATAATTTGTATTATTAATATGCAGCAGAAACACATCAATAATAATATAAAACGCTTTAAATACATGCTGCCCTTTATACCAAAGTATTATATTTACTTCATTCACATCTAACTTCACCTTCAAGCCCAAAATAATTTTCCTATCTCCCATCTTTCACTATTCAATGCCCACATTAATGCTAAGCAAAATCTTGATTATTAAGTCAATTTTCAACAACTATTGAAAATATGTTTTAGAAAAAATGTAGTTCAAGGAACATTATGTGTCGTTCCATAACATGTCTAAAAGCAATTTCTCTTTCTCAGTTACGTGTGGGAAGCTAGCATGGTTTCCAAGATACAGTTCTCCTACTGCTATTTTAATCTCACTTTGACTAGTGTTCCAAAAACAAAGTGATTGTAGCATATACTTACAGTTTGCAAGAAAACCATTTTTATGGTGACTTTCCTGTGACAAACTATGCATCTTTCTAAATATAGTTATGTTGTATGTACAGTATTAGTGCTATGCATTGATCCATAAAAGTAACTTCTGAATAAATGCTTACAACTTGAAATAAAATGTAACATTTTATTAAAATCTATATTTAAATATACAATGTCAATTCAACACTTTATAAAATTGAAAAAATTATTTAAGCATTGCTAAACTTTAAAATGGAGGGAACTTGACAGAAACCTAGCAGAAATTTGAATGACTTTAGAATGAGTCTTTTAGAATTTTGAAATTGACATTTAGATTTGTTTGAAACAGCATTTATAAGGTGAGGGTCATATCTTCATATTTTCATATTTTCGATGATGCTTACTGCAAGATTTCATTCTATAGAGCAGGGCCAATAAAAATTAAATACCAAATTTCTGCAATTTCTAAGAAAGATGAAAATTGATGACGATGATACATGTTTCATTTTTATTTGATGTTTTTAGTGGTCTTTGATGTTAATTGTGAAAGCGTTCTTATATTTCTGCAGCATTTCATAACATATGCAAGACTGGTCCTATATTGTTATAGCTTAAATTTGAAGGCATTAAATATGCAGTAAAATCTGAATTGCTCATGATAGATTTTTAAGTAGTTTTGGCTTATTTAAATAGTAATGATTAATTTTGGTTTTTTTAATGTAATGATTTTGTTTCAGTTTTATTTCATATTTTGCTCTGAAGAGCAGAAAACAACTAATATTACTGAATTTCTTCATACCTTTGGAATTATGAGATGTTAAAAACTTTTCACTATATAATTTCTCTTCATGTGACTGTGTAATTCTAGGTCAGATTGCATTTGAATTTGATAGATGGAAATAAAATACTGTTGTTGTGTTTCACCTATTATGTTATTTAAATAATTCTATTAACCACTTTATGGAGAGTGGAAGTTTCATCCCTAGTCCTATTCTGTGCCAGGAAAATAAATTATCTTTTATATAAGAGTAAGAATGGTGCAATTAGAGAAGTAATTAGAAAGAATAAAATTGTAACTTTATTGGAAATCATACAGAAGTAAAGTAGTTTTGGATGTTGGTGTGTATTGCTTAGTAACAGTTACAGATCCTTTGTACATAAGAGAGGAGGACTGTTTGGAAATATTCTAAACCTAATTCAAAATACTTAATAGAAAATGGTGCACCAAATTCCATTTCCCAAATCAAATGTTATAAGCTTATTTCTGTTTTATCTGCTGTCTTTCATTCATGCACATCCTGAAATGGGGTTCATATAATATTCTAAGCTATAATTTACTTTTATTCCTTTTCTTTCTGTGTTTCTTACAAATCCAACCACCTTTTATTCAATAAAGCATGGTGACTGTATATTAACTCCAGACCCTTTACCCTCTGAGCAATCTTCCCCCAGAATAAAAGTACGGAGACCAGCCATTAGTTATCAAAAATTCCCAGACCAAGTAGTGGCTTCTTAAAGAGGGGGTACATTACCTCCTCCTTCAAAGCAGGGTATACCAGCCCCTCACCCAAGGAGGCATTCACCACTATAGTGACTCAGCTCCCTCTTAATAATAATTTCCAGACTTTTTCGTTTTTCATATTGACAGTTTTAGGTTTAGGGTATTAGGTAGCAGATAATATAGTCTGTTTGAATTCTATAGTCGCAGAACACTTCAACTTCATCGTTTTCTATTACTTTGTCTATTTTGTTGGTCCCACCAGTTCTTGCTTGCAGGCAAATGGTATTTTTTTGCAGATGTCCCAATGCACCATTGTTGCTACTTTGGCATGCCATTGTTTGTATTCAATGTATGCATTCTTCTTGCAATGGCTAACTAGATGGTCCACTATTTCTTCAGCTGCTTTGCAGACATGACATTTTCTGGATGGATAAAAGAATTAAAGATGAATTTAGTCAAAATCAAATGGAAAAACTAATAATAGCAGAAATGGTTAAAATGGAGTGAAAAAATTTAAAAACTGGACATCTTCTAGACATGATCAATTGCATGGCTTTTGGCTCAAATATCTGACAACTTACATTCAATTATAACTAAACAGCTTAATGAAGTATTGCATAAAGGAGACATCAGAAATTGGTTAGTAGCTGGCAAAGCTAATTCAAAACAACCCAGCAAAAAGACAGAAAATTATCTATCAGAAAATTATAGGCCAATAACATGCTTGCCTAAAATATATAAATTATTCGTGGACATAATAGCAGTCAGCACCTGAGATTATTTAGAACACGGGTGTCAAACTCACAGCGTCACATTGCCATCACGTGATGTATCACAATGTTTTTCCCCTTTGCTGAGTTGGGGTGGGCATAACTTGCACTTGACTTATCTGGCCTGTGGGCCGCCAGTTTGACATCCCTGATTTTGAAGAAAATAACAATATTACAATATTTCAAATCCCAGTAGAAAAGAAATGAAATAAAAGGAAATACAGAGATAGAAAAGATCAACTTCTGATTGATAAAATTGTTTTGGAGCATTGCAAAAGGCAAAAAACCAATTTACATATAGTCTGGATTCATTATAAAAACACTGTTTGATTAATTACCACATAGTTGGACCATCAAATGTTTGAAAACAGGTGGTGTCAGTAAAAACATTAGAATATTTATAGAAAAAATAATGAAGCAATGGAAGACAGAATTGGTGGCTGAAAATGAAAAATGTGAGCTTATCAACAATAAGAGAAGCATCTTCCATGTGACTCATTATCACCCTTCTTATTTATCATTGCTATGATCCCAATTTCAGTTATTTTGAAGGAAAAAAAATCTTGGCCATTAAACAACAAAAACAATAATAAAGCTTTTATATAACATTTGTTTATTTAAATAATAAAATAATTTGCTTTATATGGATCTATAGCTTTATGAAAAATCAGAAATTGAAATTTAGTCATTGACAAATATCCTAAGAATTTTTAGCACAGATGTAGCAATGGATTTGGCCTAGAGAAATGTGTTTCAGGAAAATAAATCAAGGTAAAATCACAAACAGTAATGGATTTGAAATGTCAAATGGCCAAACCATCAGGAGCCATCAGGATGAAGCCTGTCTGGGCATTTTACAGTTGGATAACATGAAGCATGAATCAGTTAAAATGTGATAAATAACATTTTAGACATCCAAAGATAATTGGTAAAGACAAAATTGATGGAAACATCATCAAAGCCATCAATACCTAGGACATATTTTTGATATTATACACTGCTGGAATTATTAACTGGACACGAACTGAACTGAACAGAACAGTTCGGACCAAAAAACAAGAAAACTAGTGACTATTTATTATGCATTACAACTTCATAGTAATATTGTTAGATTATACCTGCTTTGCAGAAATGGAGGCAAAGATTTACTTCAAGTCAAAATACAGTCAAAGAAGAACAGCATGCATTGGCTGATTATTTAAAGATAAAAGGTGAATATTGAAATAATATAATAAAGAACAGAATGCTGGCAAGAAAAAGCATTACATGGTCAATTTCGACAAAAGATTGAGTGAAACGTGGATAAAGATAACACCTGGTAAGTGGAACATTAAAAAAGAAGAAACAGAAGACTTGATTTTGGTTGTTCAAGAGCAAGTTATTCAAAATAATTGAATCAAAGCCAGAATTGAAAAATCATCAAATTATTCAAAGTGCAGATTGTCCAAAGAAGCAGAAGAAATAGCAGTTCATATACTCAGCTTGTGCAAGATCTCAACTGATTATAAATAACAACAAACACAGTCAGCAAAATGATTCACTGGAACATCTGTAAAAATTACCATGTGCCAGTAAAGGAAAATTGGTGGCAACATATAGTTGAAAAAGTAGTCAAGTTAAAATACCATGTGATTTCTGAATACAAACTGATAAACTCTTGGCCTATAACACACCAGATTTAACTGTGGTAGAAAAGAAGAAAGTGCAGGTAATCAATAGAATAGTTCTATTCTACTATCAAAAGATAGCAGAATAGAAAATAAGAACTGGAGAAGATCACAAAGTATTAAGATTGGGACAATTGAAGTTGAAAGATTATGGCATAAAGTGGCTTTGAGGTTCCAGTGTTTATCAGTACACTGGGTATTATACCAAAAAATCTTGGATGACACTTAGAAAATTTGAAAATAGACAAAATTTCCCTCTTGTCAATTACAAAAGGCCATACTGCCTGGATTTGCACATATACAACACTAATATATTGCGCTATTCTAGGTTTTTGGGAAGAACTCAATGTGTATGAAGACCAACACCAACTAAGAACTGGCAGCTTTGGTGTATATAATAATAATTTATTAGATTTATATGCCACCTGACTGCCAATGACTCTGGGCAGTTTACAAATTGTTAAAAACATTTAAAAACAAGAAACAATTTAAAAAACATAAAAACAACAGAAAAGAAAGGAAAAGAAATGGCAGAAAAAACAAATCCAAGAGAGAATAAAGAAAAAGGTTTATCTGTTACTCCCAGTTAAATATGGCTTCACCCATCCCCAAACACACAAATTTCAGAGAGTAGTTAAATGATTTTCTTGCTGGTAGGTGAAATTGTTGGGGGAAGAAGGAAAAGGGAAATTTACAAAGAGGAAACCAGTGATCATGCTCTGAAACTTATCTCACATTAAATTGCCTCGTTCAGTGCCCAGTTTCATAATTGAGACATATTAAAGGCTGACCATGAGTGTATCAATATAAACTCTGAGGCAGTTTCCTCCAGTCTCAGGGATGAAGGAAGAGCAAATTGATATGGCCATGAGCCTATAGTCTCAGTCCATAGAAGCACTCAGCAGTACACTGCCCTACAATTATCTCAAGTTATATTGGTTTTTTTATATGGTGCCTACAATTTGGTTATTTCTACTTCTGGATTTGTCTCATGAGGGAAAATTCTGAAACATCTTCATTTCACAGGCAATATGGGGTTAATTCAGTAACAGTCTATGCATTCTCTGACTTTCTAGGTCTGTTATATCAAGAATATCGGGATAAATCCACACGTCATGAGATTGAAACCAGGCGGCTGCAGGATTCCCAGACAGATACTGAAGAAGGCTCAACTACTGAAGAGTCACCAACAGAAACTGAAACTGCAGATGTGTTAGAAAACAAAACTGTCCCCCAGATTAACTTGCTCAGGAATTCTACCTCAAGGTTCAATTTATGGCAAGATCTTCCAGAAATCAGAAGCAGTGGTGTTCTGAATATTCTCCAGCCAGATGAAATCAAGCTTCAAGAGGTAATATCAACATTACTAGAATGTTTACTTCTTTATGTAATTTTGAACTAATTTCATTTTTTTTCCTTAAAATATATATATATTAAAGAACATTCTGATCCTGCTCAGCCTTGGCTCTAGCTGTTCCATCAGGAGTGAGCTGCTAGTGAATAAGTAACATCAATGTGTAGAGGTCATAGTCCAGGCTCAGGTTGTTTTTAAAAGAGAAAAATCTGCTAATTAAAGAAGGATTTACTGGGATGGATTGACAAATTCAACAGTAGACGTCATTGAAGGTCAATCACCCCAAAGCATTTTAAAACCTTGAATGTTACATTGTTGATGATCTTTTAACTAAAATATATAACGTATTACTAAAATGCTGATCCATTGACACAACGTACCTTCCTATTTTGCAAAGAAGTTTTAGAAAAACCCAGGGAATTGCAAAAATCAGAGCCTGAGTAGTTTGATAAAAACTAACATTAGGATTTATTTATTTATAAAAATAATAAAGCTGGGAGAAACAAAAAAACAAACACTTTAGGAATTATTGATTCCAGTACAGCAGGGTTCCAAAACCCCAGCCTGTGGCCCACTACCGCATTGTGGCCTATTTGTAACTGGGCTGCATGAGCAGCAGGCCAATGCGCTTGTACACGCACATGCAGCTCGACTTGTACAAGTCCAGCTACATACACAGTCCGGTTTCCTCACACACACACCCCAAGCCAGACTGCCAAGCTGCAAAGGTTGGGGACTACTGAGTAGAGAAATTAGAGACACCAGTGTTAGAAAACCATCTCTAGAAGTTGAATATAATATTATACATTCTAAAACCATATATTGTGGATTTTTCAATCATTGTTCTTTCTTAGCATGATCTTTTTATTTTCTTGCACAAATGCATTCATAGTTTAGTGTAGCAAAGTCTTGGAATATGATTATTGGGCTCTGAATTGCACATCATGAGAATCTGTACCATCGTGATTAATACATACCAGCACATTTTTATCCTTTAAAAACGCTAAAAATTGTTCATTATTTCTGGATATTGAATTTAGGTCACTCTTACGTAATTTTTAAAATTATGTTATGATTGAGAATAGACTTGTTATAGCTTTAATTTATTGCGGAAGCCAAGATCTCTGTTATAAATAGAATTTTATTCCATATTAGATACCCCACTCTTGCTGATTTATGTATAATGTGTAAGATTTAACTATTCATTTCCGACTGCCCATAAAATTAATCCCAGATAGCCTTCTTTCAAAAGGCATAAAGACAGAGTGAGCTTTTTAGTATCAAGTCCACCTGATTTTAGTGGACCTTATTGCCAGTCATATTGTCAATTTCACCATAATCTTCAAATCAACTACACATCAATGACATCTCAGAGTTATGCTGATTTAATAACTTCTAAAGTTAGTTGAAGAGCTGTAGGAATAATGAGAAGCCCTCAGTCAGTACTGCCTCTGTCCTTCAATACAGGTAGTCCTTGATTTATAACAGTTCATCTAGTGATCATTTGAAGTTACAGTGACACTGGAAAAAGTGACATGATTGTTTTTCACATGTACAACCATTGCAGCATCCCCATGGTCACATGATCAAACTTCAGATGCTTGGCAACTGACTCATTTATGACAGGGTTGTCCCAGGGTTGTGTAATCACTTTTTGCAACCTTCTGACAAGCAAAGTCAATGGAGAAGCCAGATTCACTTAATCACAGTGTTACTGTAATAACAATTGCAGTGATTCATTTAACAACTGTGGCAAGAAAGGTCATAAAATGGGGCAAAACTTACTTAACAAATATTTCACTTTGCAACAGAAATTTTGGCCTCAATTGTGATCGTAAACTGAGGACTTTCCGTACTTGGCTTTATATTTTCCATTAAATGTAATATTCTGGTTAGCAATGTTCAGCTAGTTCAAGTTCAGAATCTGGGAGATATGAAAAACATTTGTTGTGCTTGCACAAAAGAGTCAGTTCCAAATATTTTTGCAAGTGGTTTGCTATTGCCTTCTGCCTAGAGCTCAGAGAGATTGACTGGCCTAAATTCATCCAGTGGTGTCTAAGAAAGGAGTAAAACTCACGGTCTCCTGCTTTCTCCCCTGCACAAACTGTCTTGCATTAAAAAATGAAGCATGCTACTTTTTTTTAATAATCACAGAGTGTGACCAGGTCTGAGCAAAAATATAATTTAATTTACATAGCTTGTGCCTAATGCTTAGGAATGGTTTGCCCTATTGCAGTTTCTTTCCATTTGCGAATAGTGTTCAAATATTGCATGCCATTCTGAAATTAATGTTAAACTAATATAAGTAAAGAAAAGTGTATATCAAGATCAAATCTTGCAAAAAAGACTGTATAATATATATAAAAACAGCAAAGATATTATAGAAAATACAAGGATGTTGTTTTCATTAGTATTCCCCATTATATGCGTTATTCCAGCCTTCGTCAGATAAGATGTGACTAAACAGGGACAATGATACCTTTACACATCCATCATTTGAAGGCATGGGAAACCTTATCTGTGTTGTTGCAAAGACAATTTATGAATGTGCCACAAAGTCATTAAGATTGGGATTTGAAGAACTCTATTCTCTTTAAATAATAACTCTACATAATCTACCAAATAAAAACGGGGGAGATTATGGCAATTCTGAAATGAGTCAGGAGAGACTATTTTAATACAGAGCATAGAACTGTGATTATATGCTCAGAGAACAATGAGAAACAAACCTTGAGAATTAGCTTTTACTGCAGTGGCAGCTAAAATGTAGTGGTGGAAGCTTTCTCAGAGGATATCAGTGAGAAGGAATTAAATTGTCTTCTGGACATTTCCTAGACTTGCTAGACTGGGAATGATGGGAAGGGCCCTAGGCCTTGCTTAGAAGCATGATAGGTGGAGATCTGTGTTTGCTTTGCCCAGGATAGTCTCTTAACCATTACCGGAAAGTCTTTGTTGTTGTTGTTTTTACAAGAAAGACAGAGGTATAAATAGTAGTTTGTAATACCATATAGAAACACATTGGGTGGTAGCGTCTAAGAAAAAGAACCACCTAACTATCTTTAATTATGAATCTGAATGGGAGCCGCCAGTGATTCAAGACAAGCAGGATGGGACTTTTTCTTTATTGCCCTCAATCAGATCCCATCACTGTTTCTTCCCTATGATCCAGACTGTCCTGGACTCCTTACAAGAACCTGCACATATGCAGCGGTTTCAATATTTGCTCTGCTTTAATCCTACTTTTTGTTGTTGCTTTTTCTGCTCTTGTCTTAATTTATCTCTACAAATATGGGGACATATGTGATAGATGTTAGTTTCCAGTCAAGCTGTAATCAGTGATTTGCAATACATATTTTCTCTTTTTGTTGTTTTTAATCTGGCACTGAGAGACAGGAAGTGAGAAATGGGGTGAGAAGGTTTTTTTCCCCTTCATTAAAGCTCCACTTTGTCTTATTTTAAGTGCTATGAACGATTTGATATAACAAGCAAAATGTAGGCTTGAAGATCTGCTTTGGAGTGATTGAATTAATCAAGAACCCCACCCCATACAAATGGTCCTCAGTTTAGGGCCATTCATCCAGCAACTGTTCAAAGGCATGGGTGCTGAAAAAATGGACAGAGGACCAGCCCTCAAAGTTCCAGGCATCAGAGCATTCCTGAAGTCACACGATTGCAATCCGGGTGCCAGTGTGCCTGGCTTGCAATTCCAGTGTTGCAGATAGCCATGGCCATGTGATCACCATTTGCAACCTTCCCTGCCCCCTTCCCACAATCAAATTCAGTGGGGAAGCTGGCAGGGAAAGTTGCAAGTCACCCCAACAAATTGCTCCTATTTTTATTTTCTCCCACAGCATCTCTCTGTTGATACATAACCTCTGCTGGCTCTTTCCTGGCCTCCTGTAATTCTCACATATGATTTGTGCCAGCCTCTCCTGGCCTCCTATGACTTCTGTATAGCATATCTCAGTCATCTCAGACACTCTCTTGGCCTCTCCCCACCACTGGTATCACTGCATCACCCCCAAGTTCCATACCTATAACTTTACACCTCTTCCCAATTAAAAAATTCATATGTCTTGAGTTATGACGGCTAACAGGACTGCCTGGGATTGCTGTCAGTAAGTGATGTGGTCATGTGATGTTGCCCTTTACAGCTGCATTGGTTAGCAATGGCAATCCTGGTCCCAATTGCTGTTATAACTCAAGGACTACCTGTACATCATTTTTGCACCTGTATTTTAAAGTTACTTGACTCTTTCTTGCCTGGTGTTTTCCTTGGGTCCATGTACATGTAAGCACTGTTTCCAGTAAGGTGGGGATCAGCCCTTATTTAATTCATTTAATTCCAAAAGAAGTCACAAGTGAAAAGAAAGCAGTTGGAAAGTATATTCTGTTTCTATCATGGAAGAAGAAATTGCTTAGAAAACTAATATGTTCCTTTGGAATTATGCCAGGGTTTATTGGTATCACATAAATAGACAAATGCCTGTTAAAATACTATCTGAAAATTGCATATATATATATATATATATATATATATATATATATATATATATATATTTGTTGGTTGGTTGGTTGGTTTGTTTGTTTGTTTGTTTGTTTGTTTGTTTGTTTGCTTTTTAAGGACTTGCCAAACAGGTTGGGCATAAGACTAGAGTGGGTGGCATAGAAATATGACTAATAAATAAATAAATAAATAAATAAATAAATAAATATGAGGAAATTATGACTTTACCTTGAAATTAGGCTAACTGCCAGTGACAATAAGTGCACACTGCAGCAGGTTGAATTATTTTAGATCAACATAAGCAAGGAGAGAAACATTATTGAATAATGATAAAAATGACTATATCACTGATGGATAGGTTTAATTATCTAGACATCTGTTGAGCATCAAGTACAAAAAAAAACATGAATCACCAGGACATCCTTGCGCTAAACAGGAGTGATTTAATGATGCAAAAAATAGGAAGACATGCTCAAAGAGATGTTACTTAGGTTCTTGTACCATGCTGACAAGGAGGAAATGACCAAGAATGTGACTATAATGGAGATGGTTTGAAAAGCCACCTAACAATTACATGAATTTACAATTTAATTACTAGCATGTGAAAATATTTTTGCAATGATTCCAACCAATTACATTTAAATTTCTTATCAGTATTCTGCCCTGGGGACCATGCCAGGAGGGTATATTTAATCCTCTTCTGAAAATCTGAATACATTTTATTAAATCTTACTTAAGAATATACCTGTCATACTCTGACCTCATATATTGGCTTTTTATCCTAGTGTTAATCTTTACTTCAAGGGAGGTGATGGATTTCTTTTACCTCACTGGAATATTTTTAGAGGCATATATACTGCTAACATTGGAATTAAAAGTTCTACAGTTTGTTTCATAACTATGCAATTATGTAAGAAGCTAGTTTATATAACATATTACCCATAGTTAACCATGATTTTAAAAAATATATATTTTAATGGTTTGGGTTTGCATAAGATGCTATGCAATACTCCTAAATCATATGATTAAGTTCACACATTTACCAACATTAAAATGTGGTTTGTGGTTCAGTGCAGCTGATGACTGTTAACATTTTTACATACTAAATGTTGTTCTGAGTGGCTTACAAAACTCCACATGTGATATATAAAATTCTATAATAATTTATAATTCTAGAGTAGCCTCTAGACAAGATGAACAACACACATATCTAATAAATAATACTAAAACAAAAAAAAATTGTGATGTGCTTGGTACTCTTTGACTTTGTTGGTTTTCTTGCAGATGTTTTGTTACCAAACTAGGTAACATCATCAGTGCACTAAACTTAAAAATCACAATCATGACTGACATTTTTAGGGTAAATTGATAATTGCAATTTAAAATCTTTTTGAAATATTGTTAAGTTTTGTGCCAGTTCTGGCATTCCAACATTTTTTCAATGTGTGGTTATACATAGTGCATTTCTCAACTACAGAATATAATGATGACAAGTGTCATATAGGCAATTATATTTAGCTGTTTGACACTGTCATTGAATGTTAACAGAGATTTTGAGTTGCTTTCTGTGTGATTGGAGGGGAAAGAGGGAATGCATCCCTGTTGCCATAGAAACTAGGCCATTATTTCTTGCCTTGCCATCCTGTACTGGTAGTTTCATTGCTGGGAGCAAGACTTCTGTTTTGATTCAGTTCTAGTTATTGACTATTTGCAATAGAATGCAGATGTGTCTTCATGTTTGGATATGCAACCCATGAGCAGCAGTGCATTGTAAATAAATAACTTTTCCTTTCAACATGTAACTATATGCAACCTTTATCTGAATCAAGTAGGATTATTTATGTGTACTAAGACAGTGTAATATAATAATACATCTAAAAAAGATTATATGAAAATATGAGTATGTGCACATGAGGCTGCTGAGCGAGCTTATTCATTACCAAGAGGTGAGAAATCATCAGTACACTGATGATGCCCAACTATGCATCTCGGCCCCTGTAAATTAAGCAATACTGTGAATATCTTATCCAGGTATCTGGAGGCTCTGAGGATCTGGAAGAGAAGAACCTACTTAAGCTTTAATTCTGATAAAACTAAGTGGCTCTGGGTTTGGGGCCTTACTGTCATGCCTAGGAAGGCCTTTGTACAGCTTCAGCTCATGCCCCAGTCACCCCAAATGGGACTATTGTAACTACTGCATGAGGCTGTCCTTGAAGAGTATTCAGAAACTTCTGCTGGTGCAGAATGCAGTATGCAGACAGTTATGTGTGCTGCTAGGGCAGCATATATAAACCTCTGCTCTGTTCTGTGATTTGCAGAACAGTTTGCTTTTCAGTTCAATTCAAGGAGCTGGTTTTCACTTTTAAAGACCTTCATGGCACGGAACTGGGTGGGAACCACCTCTCTCCAATTATATTAACCCATCCCATTAGGCAGAAAGGGCATGCTGCTGACACCATCAGCCAAGAACCTATGTTTGATGGGTCCAAAGCAATAGGCCTTCTGTGCTGTGGTACCTGCCTTAGGGAACATCCCTCCTTTTCCAACATTAAATTAGCTCTATCTCTTTTGATGTTCTGGAAGTCCCTCAAGACTTGGTTTTACCATCAGGCCTGGAGGTCCTAGGGAACTAGATATTTGTTTACATGGTTCCACTATTCCACTTTCTCTGTTTAGGGTTTGTATCGGGGTGGATTCTATTTACCTTTACTACTGGTTCACAGTGGGGCCATGCGTGTGTGCTCATTTCCCTCACAGGCGCGTGCACTCTTCTCCGCATGCGCAGAAGCATTTTGCTGATACCAGGGTCAGTGGGTGGAGCCTTCCACCGGTTTTACTACCGGTTCTATAGCACCTGTGTGAACCGGGGGCAACCCACCACTGGTTTGTATATATATTTATTTTTAATTATGTCCATTTCTAATGTTGATTTTTCTATTTTAAATGTTATTTTTATGCATGTATTATTTTTCTTGACCATTATACACACCCCAGAGTCACTTCTCATGAGATGTGAATTTGATAGATGATAGATAGATAGATAGATAGATAGATGATAGATAGATAGATAGATAGATAGATGTAACTATGTCCAGCTATATTGAGCAAATATGATTCCCATCAATGTATAACTAACACAATGAGGTAATTAAATAAAGGGGAATGTTTTAATGGTATTCAGAAAGGGAGAACAGCCTCATGTTTCAGTTCACTACCAATTATTTAGGATGGTTGTGCTGGAGTAAATCAAGACACCTTCCATTCTTGCTATCCATTTCAGAATTTTACTTAAATGTATTTGAAGTGTTAAAGAAATGTGACGTATATATTTAAATAATTTTCTGAAAAGGGTAGCTTGGTGAAACTTCCCCAATTATGACCAATCTTCTTTGCTTTGTCTCTCAGATGTTTTGCTGCTTCATTTTGTCTATTCTGTTATGAAACAGAATCCCCATACTAGGCAATTAAGGAACTATTTGCTTTATGTGAATCCATGATAATTAAAAGCTGGCAATAATGCTGAAATGGAATGTTTATCTTCAGTCTGTTTCATACAGCTTCTTTTCATAAGCTGTGTTTTTTTCACTGTTACAACACTGTTGTCACTCCCCTTTCCCTTTCAATTAAAACCCATGTAATTCTCATCAATTCACACAGTGACATTTTTTTCTATTTAAAGTGTGATGAAAAACACTAAACAATGGAAGCTTTGCATCCTAAGACTATAATATCTGATTTAGAAAATATTTTTAGGTTGTAAGAAAAAATCCATTGCTCTTTTATATCTACAGACTTTGATTCAACTGCTTAAAAGTTCCCAACAAGATGTTCTGTTTCATAGATGAACGGCTATTGAAGTCTATGGGACTGGCTATAAGTGTAGATAGCAATAGCACTTAGACTTATATACTGCTTCACAGTGCTTTACAGCCCTCTCTAAACCATTTACAGAGTCAGCATATTGCCCCCAACAATCTGGGTCCTCATTTACCGACTTTGGAAGGATGGAAAGCTGAGTCAACCTTGAGCATCATGAGATTTGGACTGCCAAATTGCAGGCAGTCAGCAGAAGCAGACTGCAGTACTGTACTCTAACCACTGCACCACCGCGGTGCATGCCAATCACTGGACCAGAATAGCAGTCTTTAGAATCTACATATTTATTCCAGTGTGCATAAACCATCCTAGCAAGCTCTCATTTCGTCAGCCATTATATGGGCTTTTTATATATGTATTTTCCATTACTTTATATTCTTCTGAAGCGGCTGACATGGTACTAAATCAAATATACTGTATATTAAGAGATTGGTTAAATTTCACCCTGTCCCTCTGATAAAACTAAGTTAATTAACAATAATGGAGGGTACGGAACCATGATTTCATAATATAGTTTTGGAATTCTCCTACAGGCTATGTTTGAACTGGTCACTTCAGAAGCCTCATACTACAAAAGTTTGAATTTATTGATATGTCATTTCATGGAAAATGATCGACTGAAAAAGATTTTGCATCCCTCAGAGGCTCACATCCTCTTCTCCAATGTTCTGGATGTCATGGCAGTCAGTGAACGGTAAATCCTTAAATTATTGTTATCATGGGTAGAAACTTCCTCATCTTCTCTGAAAGGGACAGATGGTGATCATTAATAGCGTTAGTAAAATGTACAGTATTGTTCAAAATTGCTTCTCTGAAATGGTAAGATTGCTAAATCTTATATCTTTTGCATCAGAAGCAGCCATTTAAATAAAAACTGCATCAGACGAGTCCACTTTCTTGCTGCTATAGGAAAGTGTGAACTTAGTAAGTTGTGGAAATTATGGATGTCACCATGATAGTTGGAACCTCACTGCTTATTTCCACAGTCCTGCTCCTTTTTGAACTCCTCCTGCAGGCACTGTCAGAGGGGCAATGTGTTTAAGAATAGCCCTGTTTATCCCATATATTATCTCTAGAATTAAACACAGTGTGTCTTTTCAGTTGAACATTGTGGAAAAACAATGTCGGGTTAGATAGGTTTCTCATTTGTCAAGAGTTAGATTCATATGACATAAATAATTCCAGAGTAGCAATGTTTTAGAATGAATTCGAACTATTAAATTTTCCGGCTTTCTCTCTATGTATTTACCAGATTTTTACTGCAGTCGTTATGTGAATATCAGTCATAATGTACATTAGTTAATTCCTGCACACACACACACACACACACACGTGCACACACACACACACACACACACACACACACACACATATATATAATAGGATTATATTACTCCTCATTATACAGCTACAACTCTTCCTGGGAATCAGAGATCTAGCCATGGGTATGTGGTCATGTATGTATGCTATTCTCCCTACCCATGAAATGAGGGCAAAAATCTTTAATTTACAGAGAATAGTGTCAAGAATAGGTCATTAATTAAAAAAACAAAAACAATCTTTCACTAAATTCCTGTCACCTTATTTTTCCACAATCTGTCTAGGGGTTAGTTTGTCTCAGCTTGAAAATTGTACCATCAGTATATTTTGCTCACATTTTGTAATAAGTTACTTAAACTTATTTATCTGATAAAGTGAAAATGATTAGATAGTCATGTGTTAGTTTGCACTGAATAATATTTTTTTAAAATAATGAACTTTCAAATCAGTGGTGGGATTCAGCCAGTTCGCACCACTTCGGGAGAACTGGTTGTTAACTTTCTGAGCAGTTTGGAAAACTGGTTGTTGGAAGAAATCATTAGGGCAGAGAACCAGTTGTTAAATTACTTGAATCCCACCACTGTTTCAAATATAATACTCACATGGCTCAAATGTGGTATAAAACAAGCAATGCAAATAAAAATGAAAATATTTTAGAGTCTATGTTTTACAACTTTCTATGCTTCTTGCTGGAAAGAATTGAAGCAAAACACAAACTGAAGATTCTATCGCAATCCTTGCTTTCTCTCTTTGTTGATTGTATGTTTCTTTTTTATATTTATTTGAATGATTAATTTTTGATTTCTTGTTTAGATTTCTCTTAGATCTTGAGAAACGAGTAGAAGAGAACATTGTAATCTCTGATGTCTGCGACATCGTCCATCAGCATTCTGTTAGCTACTTCTCAGTATATGTCACTTATGTGTCGAACCAGACCTACCAGGAAAGAGCATACAAGCAACTTCTGTGAGTGCAATTTCTCAAGCATGGCTTTGCTAATGAAACAATTTAACTCCAGCACAGCAAAAGGATAACCTTCAGGATCTTAATAGTTAGCTCACAGGGGGAATTTATTTTCCTCAGGTTTTAGGAACTCATGTCTGTATTCAATGTATAATTAAGTTAAACAATACAGCCAAAAGACGAACAGAGGTAGATGCAAGCATTTCGTATTGACTCATCAGTACCAATATTACAATAACATGGTTAAAATCAACCTCAAATATAAGATCTAGCAAGAGCATTAATTAAACCTATAATGTATGCAGGAAAACAACCAATGGCAAGCCTTATGCCCAGTGGTGGATTGCCCCCGGTTCACACCGGTTATATAGAACCGGTAGTAAAACTGGCGGGAGGTTCCGACCACCGAGCCCGATGTCATCAAAATCCTTCTGCGCATGCGCAGAAGAGCGCGCAAGCGAAGCGAGTGTGCACGGCCCCGTTGCGAATCGGGAATAAAGGTAAGTAGAACCCACCCCTGCTTATGCCCATGGGAGGCGTAGATTGACATAAAGGTGTTTCTGCACACACAACAGGGGCTAGATAGTGTCTCACAATAGCCGAAGAAGGCATTTTATGGTCATGATTTGCTGCTGTTGTTGGATTACTCAAGGCTGTTCGGACCCATTTCAGAATATGCTCCTTTATTCTGAAAGCCAAACACCTATCAGTTCTGCCGATGTAATTGTCTCCGCAATTACAAACAAATAATTAAGTGCTAAACATGTGATTCATTTCATACCAGAATAAAAGACAAAAAGACATGTACCTGGTCAGAAAGAGGAATATTACCTTTGGGCGTTGTTCTGTCCCTCAGTCTGCATGGCACAATTTTTATAACAGATAATTAAAGGCAGGTGGGGGGGAGGGGAGTGCATCTCCTTGCCCTCCTTTAATTTTGGCAGGATACCTTTTCTTCATACCTACAGTATTGATGGAAGGACAGAATCTCTTTTAAGCGGTACGCCCATAAAATTACAAGATCCTTTTCATTTTGAGCCTTTTTGTGACTTGATAACACATCTGATTTTACTAGGTTAATGAAGATTGGTTCAGAATGTTGGAACAGACCAAAGACTAGATAACTCTAGTCTTTTAGAAAAAAATTTTCTTTATAGTAAGAAGTGAACTAACAATTGTGAGCACATACATAAAAATAACAATAAAAATACAGCTTGTAGGTTCCCTAATAATTACAGTACCTTGCTATCCTTGAACCAAGATGTATCCTGATAAGGTCAGGAACATTTTTACCAAAGTCATTTAAGAAAATCATATCAGAATCATATCAAATATCAGAATCATATTTACAGTTAACATTTACAGTTAAAAATTGAATTATTCATTGTGATTCATGCTGAAGTTCTCTGTACCAAATATATTCAGTAAAGATGGTTTTGTATTTCAGAAATTAAGTAAATTGAGTTCCAGAGGAGGGTTAATAAATTGTGGCCACTCCAAAATTTTGCCTGCTTCCAGGACAGTGCTTCATGGCCTAGGGAGACAGAGGGGCAGAACAACCTGCTCTCCTTCCTCAACACCATTGTGCAGCCCAAGGTCTGCGGGGACCCAGCAGGGTGGGATGGGGGGAAGATAGGTGAGGGGTCCTTATGGGTTGGTCATTAGGGACGGTGAATTGCCAAGCGCCTGAATTTTGTTAAGATATTTGTGCGGGTGCTGCAGCAGCTACAACTTCAGGCAGGGGTTGTTAAGTCCTTTCATTCAGCCCCATTGCAATTTTGAATGGTCTTAAGTTGAGGACTATCTATACAAGCAAACATCTGTTACTGCCATTCTGACTAAAATTTATTCCTGTGATTCAAGGTTAAATTGCTCCTTAACAAGTATTTAATAGTAGGGAACAGTATTAGAGAACTGTGATGTTATAGGAGGGAAATTATTCTTGTTTTGAGAACAGTTTTTGCATAGGAAAGATAAATTCAGGAATTAGTACCACTGGAAAGAAAGTGGACTAAAGTAGATAAGTGTGGTAAGCAGGGTGTTGTGGGACTTTATCCCTTCTTGCATCACTTCTGGTCAAAACATTGAATGACAGTGCAAATCATTTAAAAAGATCAATTGTAATTAGATGAGAAGTAGTGCATTCTCTGATTATTATTTTTTTTTACAATGACTCCATTTGAAGTTGCTTCATAACCGAGAATTAAGCAACAAATAAGGGATATAAAGTCAGTGGGAAAACTTTCAAAGAAAAGCTATTGTTATAATGGATGTTCCACTTAATGTGCTTCCTTTTGTATATGTGTTGCATAATTATATTCCTGTTCCAATTCCAAGGCCCAATTTAGCCTGTGGTTTTTCCATCCATCCCTTCTCTTCTTTTAAAAATAAATAAATAAATAAATTGGTGGCTCATCTGGATCTCACCAGGCCCAGGGTTTGCTTGAACCAGAGTTTAGGGTTTGCCTCAACTGTCTTCCAATGATGATGGCGTATACACATACAATGATGTAAGCTGAGTCATCTGAGTCAGGTGCATTCTTCATGTCGATATTTCCAGCAAGATTTCCTTCGGTCAAAGCACCTTATAGAAAGCTGTCTTCTATGACTATATGCGCTTCACCATACCACAATAATCTGACTGTGTAAAAATGTATAATTAAGTCTCTGACTCAACTGCTTGGACACACTCTCCATTCACATACACCCCCACACACAGCATAGGCAGCTAAGTCTGTATATGTTACACAAGAGAAGCCATTACTTTTGCTTGCACATAAAAAGTCTATTTTTCCGTTCCCCAATACTATAAATAGACTCAACCATAAACCAACGTTCAGAGTGCTAATATTTTTTGCACCACAATTTTCAAAACAAGACCCAAACCAAAGGCCAGGAGTATTGAGAAAGGTAGTGCCATAGATTAAAAGAATAACAGAGCAGATCAGTTACTCCTACAGGTTTAAAACAAAAGGAAATAACAAATACCTCTCTCAATCTGTCTGTTTCGGCAGCCAAGACAAGCCAGCTTTCCGGGAGGTGATCTTACAATTGGAACTGGATCCAAAATGCAAAGGCCTGCCTTTCTCATCTTTCTTGATTTTGCCTTTCCAAAGGATCACTAGGCTGAAGCTGCTGGTACAGGTACAATAAATTTATATTCTTCTTTTCATTCTTATGTGGGTGCCACCTGTGAAGGAGATGACAACATTCAAATGGGAAATGAAAAGCCAATAAGAAACATTTACAGGTATTAGGCTGTGAATAGATCTGTACTAAATTAACACCAAAGTCTTACATGTGTATTCAAGTAGTATTCTTCAACAATAATATCAACTTAACAATACATACAGTATATACATATGTACAGACAGACAATATTTGATCTGGAATTGGGACACTTAAAGAAAATCCCTATTAAAAATATCCTATTGTATTAGAATAATGTATACGGTTTCTATAAAGCAAGTTAATAACTTTTTCCCTGGTCTTTGTGCAGAATATATTGAAGAAAGTGGAAGAAAAATCTGAACGTGAAATCACTGCTCTTGAGGCTCACAAGGAACTGGAAATAGTAAGCTTGTTTAGGTTTTTCAGTTTCTTTTTTAGGCAAATGCAGTTTTTAATGAACTGAAAGCCAGGAAAATGTCTGATGCAGTATTTTTTATAAAATTCACTTCTTTTAGAAAACAATTTAAGCAAGTGTCTAAACAGGAGTTGATTAGTGATGCATTGACACACCTGTGAGGATCTTTAGAGGAAATGCGTTTTCTGAGGAATTCGGATTCAGACTTTCAGATCCAAAGCTTTTGTCAAACACTTGAAGGTGATAAAAATCCATGGAGAGCAGTTAATTTAATTAGCTGCCACCATTCAAAGACTGTTAATAGGTCAGATTTGCATCTAGAAGTGCAGAGTTACTTTTATGATCCCAAAATTGTTGAGTCATGGCATATATTTTTTAAAGTGTTTCATTTCATTCGAACTCCATTTTAGGAATCCCCTGAGCATGTGTCCTTTCTGACTAAATGCATATTTTTGGGCTAGGCCAAACTACAAATTTTACTATTAAACTGAACTGGTGTCTGATAAGAAGTGAAGTATGGCCATGGAGGATGACAACTCTGCCTCCGGTCTAGTCCATCCAGGTATACATATGGTCTACACATATAGGCAACCAGTTTGGTCAAGTGGGGAAAGTGCTGGTCTAGAAACTAGGAGAATCTGAATTCCAGTCCTGCCTTGGGTATGAAAGCCACGTGGGTTACTTTGAGCCAGTCACACACTTTCAGCCCAATCCACCTAACAAGGTGGTGGTTGTGTGGAAAATAGGAAGAGGATGGAGTATGGTACATTTGCTGCCTTCAGTTACTTATTATGTAATAAAGGCGGGATAAAAATCTAATAATAAATACAAATAAATAAAAAGCTAAACACTTATTTCTATTTAAAACTTGTTATAAGCTACTGTGTGATTTTTACCACACACAAAATCCAATTATGACCTTACCTGGAGTGGGAGTACCTTATGACAGTGACTCATGTGCTTATCACCATTCAATTGAAATGCTACAATTTACTCCACATGAGCTGCTTTTAGAAACCATTCGGAAAGTGTGCTTGGTTCAAAACACACCAATCATGCATTGGCTAAGATGTTAGGACCACATTCCCCTTGTGCTGCTGGCATTACTTTGATTGTCGGTAAATTTCACAGTACAATTAAATAACTGGCTTTGACTTATAGAGCCCTATATTGTATCACTGGGTATCTCCAGAATTTTCTTTAACTAGAATTAACCTAGTTAAATCTCAGGCATTACAAGCCTGAGACCAGAAGAGGCTCAATCTTGCTAGCATTATGAAAGCAAATTAAAATGGATGCTTCTGGTGACTCATGAACATGTCCATGTTATTTGTTTAACAATAATATGGAAGAGATTTGCCATTACCTTCTCCCAGTAAATGAAATTATGACAATGGGAAGAATTTGAGTGACAGGAAATCCTTAGAAGACCTTAGGGAATTTCAATATCACTCCACTCCTGCATGGTGCATGGGCTGGCAAATGCACCTACAATTATAGTAAAGGCAAGTAGACAAGGACTTGCCTAACCATAAATTAATATAAGTATTGCTGTACTTAGATTGCCCTGTGATATTTGTTTATTGTTGTTATAAAAAGTTAGAATGGCCCCTTCATTTTAACTGCCGTGTAAGCTCCAAGGCAGGATCTTAGGACAAGAAACACTATTTCTGAAGTTTCATTATCTTTCTCTTTTAGATAGTGAAGGCATGTAATGAAGGTGTTAGAAAGATGAGCCGCACAGAACAGATGATCAGCATCCAGAAGAAATTGGAATTTAAGATCAAGGTATAAATATAAACTGGTAAATCATGATGAGAAGACAATTGGGTTTTAAAGAACATACAGAATTTTATGGAAACAGGTTATCTGGAAAGTAGGATTTGGGGCTGTCTTTGCTTGACGAAGATAAACTGATCTGATGAATTTTGAGAAAAAAACATGAATGCAAGTGTTCTAGTTTTCACTAAGTAGAACATATTTACATCTCCTTTTCTTGGCTTATATTGCAGAAGGACTAGCTAGAGTGAAATGGTTAACATTTATACTGAATTGAGTATTGAGGATTCAGATCTTGTCTTCTGTCATATAAAGAAGTCCACTTCTTTTTATTTTTTATTTTGTTGTAAGGAAATATTGGAGAAAGGAATGCAATTCATGCTGCTTTGAGTTCCTGAAGGAATTAGGGAATATAAATCAAACAACAGATACAGGATGTATTTTGAGGAATTAAAAATCTATTGTGAAATTCTAGGGAAATGGACTAATCATAAATCTTCCAGAGGTCCCTGTTACGTGTTCAGATCAATACTACTTCAGATACCATCCCTGCTAGTTGGCTACATCCCATATAACTTATATCCTATATCATTATTTCACATTTACTATAAAGATCTTTAACAAAGGGTAATATGAATAATAGCAATGTTAAAAACTGACACTGCATTTCACCTCTTCAAAGAGTGTAACTCTTGTTAATATAGGTCCCATCCAGGGGTAAAATCCAGCAGGTTCTGACAGGTTCTGGAGAACCGGTAGTGGAAATTTTGAGTAGTTTGGAGAACTGGCAAATACCACCTCTGGCTGGTCCCAGAATGGGGTGGGAATGGGGATTTTGCAATATCCTTCCCCTGGAGTGAGGTGGAAATGAAGATTTTGCAGTATCCTTCCCCTGCCATGCCAACCAAGCAACGCCCACAGAACTGGTGGTAAAAAAAATTGGATTTCACCACTGGTCCCATCCATTCTAGGGTAGATATGAGTAATAGTCCTTCAGTATCATTTTGTAGCCATGAAGACCACAGTCATCCTATTAAAATTTGGAAGCTAACTGATTTTTAATACAAAACCTCCAGATAGATCACACTTTCAGCCCTTCTGATTATGTTGTTATACCCTATTGTTATTATGCCCCTTGAATTTCTTCAAGGACCATAATGCCCCAAAGGTCTTAGCCCTTGTTTTAAGGGGACAACTTTCCTTTCTTAGCAGTAAGTGCTGCTTGATTATGATCTCTGTTTTCTTTCCATCATTAGTCTGTGCCCATCATCTCTCATTCCCGCTGGCTGCTAAAACAGGGAGAACTCCAACAGATGAATGGCCCTAAAACATCCCGTACACTACGTACAAAGAAACTCTTTAGAGAAATCTACTTGTTCCTTTTCAACGACTTACTAGTACTGTGCAGACAAATTAATGGGTAAGTCCAAATTAGACAAATTTAACAATTCTGGGAGAAATTATTCTTCATTAGTCATTAATGTTTATTAATATATTAATAATTACTAACAATAATATATTGTTTATTTACAACAATAATATTTTAGACCCTGTCTATCATACAAAGGATCTCACGTTACTACAGCCCTAGCTGTAGGCATAAAGTGTTAGACAAATCTTTTTAGCACTTGTTATTGTTTTAACCAAATTTGCTCTCTAGAATGATATCCCTCCTTGAGATTGGGACTGCTCTTGGTTTCCTGATTCTCTGCAAATTGTTAAAAGCCTGATTGTCCTTCCAGGCCTTGGATCACGATGGTAGTCAAGCTGCTTTGTGTTTGGGGGGCTGGGGGCTTCTGTTAAGGAATTTGCAGAGCAACCCTTGAGTAGCAAGGGTGTGCACATGAAAGCGATTGAGAGTAGTTACAAAATAGCACAGCCAACACAGAGATACACTGAGTTGTGTTTACTTTCAGGAAATAGTAATAAGGCACAGTCCAATAAACAGTCCAGGTCATACACAGATAAAGCAGTAGTTAGTAAAACAATAGTCCAGGGATAATCCAATAACAAAGTCTTCTTACCAGTCGTTGTAGTCATACACATTAACAGTTGCAAACAGTAGCAAACACAGCAAAGAGCAGTAACGATCAGCAAAGAACATCAAAAAGAATCAAACAGAAACAAACCATGTTTCTAGCTCCTTCTTAAGGACATTGGCTACAGAGCTAACCAATCAGGACACAGTATGATGCAATACAGCAATACAGCAGTCTTAAAGCTATATTGATGGTTTATATATTGCCAACCCAACAAGTTAGGTAAAATCATTTCCTAACAGCTTCTTTTGGTATCTTTTTTTTTTCTTTTGTGTTACGGGTTAGTTTGAGACGCTGGATATGACCCAGGAGTTGAAAATGGAATATAGGTAGTTCTTGACTTAAGACTGGTCACTTGGCAACCATTTGAAGTTACAACAGACTGCTTATGAGCCGGTTTCAAAGTTAAAACCTCTGCAGTGCCCCCACAAACATTCCTCCTTATGACCAAGTGCAAAAACGCTGCAACATCCCCTGCCTATCTATGCCATCATCCAGGGGTGAAATCTACTTACCTTCTCTACCGGTTCAGAAGTGCACACGCACCATCGTCACATCCTATTTTTGACCCTCTGTGCATGCACAGAAGGCTTTGTGCATGCATAGAAGGTTAAAACCAGGAAGTAATGACATCCGGGCTGCCCCACTACCAGTTCGCCAAACCACGCACCACCGGCGCTACCAGCTTGTGCGAGCCAGACAGAACCAGCAAGATTTCACCACTGCCACCATCCCACTCCATCAGGTCCCCACAGGCCTAGCTGGATCATGATCAAACACTGCTTAATCAGAGCTGAAGAAGCTTTTTGGATGAGAAGCGAAACGTCTTGAAAGAAAAACCAGAAAGTCCAGTTGCTTTTTGAAAAAGCACCTTTAGGACAATCATGACCTGGATGACTGAAAATCGCCGTAGACATTGCTGAATCTGTTATCCCATTCTAATAGAAAACAAAGAACTTAAAGGCATTATAGGTGCTTTATATTTTTTGAAGCTATATCATAAATAGGAGATAGGACCACTTTCCACAAATCAAATCAATTCTATATTATGACATGACCAGCATATATTTTCCATATTCCCAATAATCACCTAGACTCAGGAAACCCTCCCCCACCAAACCCCAACTCCCAAAGCAATACAAAGTGAATTGGGCTATTTCCAAGCTGTGGATTCAGTTATAAACCAGGTCATCCGATTCTTACTTTTTATTGAAGTAACCCTCTAGGAGAACCTTGCAACAGAGGAGGGATCTTATTATGTCCAGGTCCCTTTAATTTATAATTGAAATTAAGTCATTTATTCTTCTAATCTTGAGAAATATTTTATTCTGGTTCATCTCTGACAAGTATATTCTGTCTGTTCCTCTGTCCCATTTTAAAAGAAACTGTAACCCAGCCTTTATTTATTATTTGCCTCAGTGACAAGTACCAAGTATTTGATTCTGCTTCTCGAGGCCTTCTTCGAGTGGAAGAGTTGGAGGACCAAGGACAGAGCTTGGCCAATGTATTTATTCTGAGGCTGCTAGAAAATGCAGATGACCGTGAAGTCAGCTATATGTTGAAGGCGTTATCCCAGTGAGTACAGCAAGTGATACACATGCAACTATGTGGATTCTGTGAGTGAACCCATTCAGTTTGTTCCAGTTTAATGGATTATGGACTTTTAGCTTTTCCAAGCTAATCAGTGAGCAAACTGCTTGTATGCAACTCATCCATATTCCATTTTTTCATTCACATGCATACAGAAATCAGTTCAGAAATTGCTCTGTGTATAAATCTTAGCAGAAACTACCTTGTAATTTATTTTTTATCACTAAAATTAGTTCCCTTTAATGTAATTGCCTGTTTTACAACCCCCATGATTAGGCATAGAAAATTTTAGTCTCTAATTCTTGGGCAGAACAAGAATGGTTTAGTTTCCTCCTCCCCCAAAATAGCAAATTAAGGATAGGGTCATGATTTTTTTCCCATACTGAAATTAGAAAACCAAATGAAATTGTTCTCTCCTCCCCCACTGGGAGCTTTTTATTCTTATTCTTGAATACATTGTTCCAGAATATTCCTGAAATGAATATAAAATGTGCTAAGGAACTAGGTTTTTTACTCCTTTTGGCTACAAAACTGTTGTTTGAAGGTAAATTATTTTGTGGACATTCTGTATGTAAACAAAGCTAATGCCACCCCATGATAATTGAATTTCAAGAAGAGGTCACATTAGAATTTTTTTGTGGTAACTCCTTTTTAAATTTTTTATTGCTTTTTGCTTTTATATATAAATGAACCTATTCAGCCCAATTTCTCAAAAAATAAGTAAGCTTTGATAACATGGAATAATATTAATTAGAATTTCCACTGCATCAGTAGATAACCATGTCACAATCAGAAAGTGAACACACATCATCAATGATATGTTTGGGCAGAGGGTTGGACTAGAAGACCTCCAAACTCACTTCCAACCCTTTGATTCTATGATATGTGTAATCAGTGGGTAATAATGAGGTTACTCTGTCCTTCCAGTGTTGGAGCATTATCTTTTTTGCAACATCCCTCCACGCCTGGTAATTCCATGTCTCTATGGGAAGTGATTCATGTTAAAGTACATTCAAATATTAAAGGATGTTGATCATATTACCATATTAACACGTAATCAGTATTAAACCAGATGGGCAGTAGTGGGTCTGGCTCAGATTCCTTTATGCATTTTACCCTTAAGACAGCCAGATTTTCTTCTTAGGTATTTAATAAAAATGGACAAATGTCTTTTGTGGAATTAACCCCATTTTAGAATCATAAGGAACATACTTGATACTCTTTGATCACCATATATTTGTTAATAGGAGATACTGCAACTCTTTATTTCAGGTTTTTGGCACATAAGTCATATCCAAAATAAATTTCAATGCTGACAATAATTCAGGGGTTTTGGAGGCTGCTAAAGTATGTGGACCAGTTTGTTCCCAGGCTAATTTGACCATTTCATTTGCTGATGTCTGCTTCAAAAGGCAGATGGAACATATTATGAGAGGTTTAGAAATCCTATAGATTTAGTCTCATAAACATGATTATGATTGTTTTTGCAGTTCTGTAGAACTCCTTATATAATTGAATATGTTCTTCTTTAAACCTTGTTTTTTTATGTACAGAATAGTTTTAAGTACTGAAACCATTAGCACTCAAGTAGTTGCATTTTATTGTTCTATTTTATTCCTACTTTAGTTAGTATGTACAGGATTTCCATCCAAGCTATATAAATTCAGGCTAGGGACCATTGTAAATATTGTATGTTTTTTTCTGAAATCAAACTACAAGCTCTTCATGGTCAGTCTTTTATGTATGAGTTATGTATGAGGTTTATTGTATCCTGTCTAATTTGAAACTAGAAAAACAATGCATACTTTAAGCAAGAGTTGAAAAGTAAGAGGAGTATGTAGCAGAATTTACATTTTTATAGTTTCTGAAATATGCTCAGTTTTCATAGATATTTGTAGCTGTGCACTGCTTATTGCATTACATTCTGCAAGACATTCTGATAAACTGTTAGTTGTTGTGAGCCATCCAGAGTTCCTTAAAATGGGTGGCCATATATATCTTTTAAATACATAACTGCAGATGAGTCATTTTGCAGATGCATGGCATGAGAAGGGGAATGATAAAGTGCCTATAGATTTACAAATATGTTTACATATGCTGAAGCATTCAGTATTAAGATGAAGACCTAATGTTGCGCATGCTGCAAGGAAAAAAATATTTTAAATGAAGGAATAATAATAATAATAATAATAATAATAATAATAATAATAATGTAATGTAAATGCATTCTTAAAAGGGGACACAGTGGCTCAGTGGCTAAGATGCTGAGTTGTCAATTGAAGGTCGGCAGTTCGGCAGTTCAAATCCCTAGCGCCGCGTAAAGGGGTGAGCTCCCGTTACTTGTCCCAGCTTCTGCCAACCTAGCAGTTCAAAAGCATGTAAAAAATGCAAGTAGAAAAAAAGGGACCACCTTTGGGGGGAAGGTAACAGCATTCCATGTGTCTTTGGTGTTTAGTCATGCCAGCCACATGACCACGGAGACGTCTTTGGACAGCGCTGGCTCTTCGCTTTGAAACAGAGATGAGCACCGCCCCCTAGAGTCGGGAACGACTAGCACATATGTGCAAGGGGAACCTTTACCTTTACCTTTAAATGCATTCTTGTATATCTTATGGTCACTGGACTTATAGAAAAGAAGTGTTATGAGCTTTCTGATTCCTCCATAAATGGAATAAAATATATATTTATCTATACAAAAGAAAAATGTGCAAATTGGCAGGAACAATTAATTGTAAGAGTTGCATAATTTCTAACCTTTCCAAAACTGCATGGAAAACCCTGACTGCTGTGATCTCTTCCTGTATATGTCACATAGAAGTGAAATGAAGCGCTGGATGATTTTACTGGCTCCAAATCGACGAACAAAGTTTGTTTCCTTCACATCCAGGCTTATGGGTAAGTGAAAAGGAAGGTGCTATCCAAACAGGTTGGAAAAGCATGCTATACCTTTCTTCTTTTATTGGATTTTAGCAATGTCAGTTCTTCTAGTCTTTAAATCAGGATGGGTATCATTGATTGAGAAAGCCAGTTGGGTGTAGTGATTAAGGCACCAGGCTAGAAACCAGGAATTACTGAGTTCTAGTTGTTCCTTAAGCACAGAGCCAGCTGGGTGATTCTGGATCAGTCTCACTCTAGGAAGAGTCAGTGGCAAACTACTTCTGGAAACATTGAGAGAGAGATTCTTGCACACTATGTTTTGCAGCAAGTTTTTTATACAAATCAGGATTTCATTAGCTCCTAATTCTGTTAAAAATACCCATGCAGTTCCCTCTCATAAATGATTGGCAAACTAAATTAATCTCCTTCCCTTTAACAGATTGCCCTCAAGTACAATGTGTCCATCCTTACGTGGCCCAGCAACCAGATGAGCTTTCATTGGAATTGGCTGATGTTCTCAACATTCTGGAAAAGACAGATGACGGTAAGAGCAACAAGACTGATGCAGTCATGTCCCAGTTCCATTACAATGGAACACTATTTTATCTGCATCATTAAGGATGGGAGATTGGGTATATTTGAGCATTCCAGCAGTCATTGCCCAAGGAAATGAATAAGTGTATACTTTGTCATAGTCTTATTTAAAACTGCAGTAATGTTAAGATATTTCAGTGCTAATGAAGCTATATTCTTACATTTCCTTTAGTTGTAACATCTGCTTCATACTTAAGATGGCATAGCCACCATCACAATACACTAATTAATAAAATATTTTCTGCATATTGAATTATTAAGCCAATATGAATTTGATCTCTATTAGTACATTTCTTTCACCATCATGATCTTGTCTTTTACTCTAGGCTGGATATTTGGGGAACGTTTGCATGATCAAGAAAGAGGTTGGTTCCCCAGTTCTATGGGTGAAGAGATTATGAATCCCAAGATTCGATCTCAAAATTTAAAGGAATGTTTCCGAGTGCACAAAACTGATGACAGTCAGAGGAGGAAGATGGGCAGCAGGAATAGACAATGATCATTGCTTAGTCGTCTGTTTTTCAGAAGCTATTTATGGCAGAGGCTGAGACAATGAAATATAGTACTTGAGAGAATGCACACGAATCATCTTGGCAAGCAAATCCGTTCACCTAAACTATCGGGCTCCCTTGCATTCTCATTACAAGTCGGATAGTCTTTCTGAAGACAGACTGAAAAGAAGAGAAGCTGTCATTCACCTGTACAGATGTAGAAGCTGTAAATGTCTTTCTTAATGTACTGCATACTCTGAAGATTGTAAATTTATTAACTCTGCATGATGAAGAAACTAATCACTTGAGCAACTGGGAAAATTATGTAATGGTTCGTAAATCCAGCAACTTGGTTCTTTAGCATCTTATCCAATGGTACAAAAAAGTGCAGCATTTGATTTTATGGAAAGATAATGAAGTTATGGACAATCTACATTGAAAGTTTATACTATAAATGGTCAACTTCCATATTTCTGTACTCAGCAAGTTTCTCCTAGGAACTGAGTTTGAACTGCTCATGTGATAAACTAGTTTCTTCTTGTGTTTTGGAAGAAAGGTGGAGGTAACAAAAAAATTAGGAAGTGCAATGTTATGTAGTTAAAATGCACCGCAATATTTATTTACGTGGGTGTCTTGGTTATGAACTTCAAAGTTCTAGAAGGTAAGATTGAAGCATGCAAAGTACATTTTCTAAAATAAGGATCAGTTGATTGGAATTGGGAACTCAGATTATCATCCTTCTATTTTATTGACCTGTGTAGACTACACTTCTCAAAATGATGTATGCCAAACCACATTATGCAGGGACAATACTAAATCAATTATTCTGTTTTATAAGAACCATTACTTCCTGTCTAAGCAATCACTAACTGCACTTACTTATCTAAACATAGTTATCTCATACATTTACCACTGGCAACCAGACAGAGTATAGTTGTGTTTGGAGTTAGTGCCAGAATGGGGAGTATATTAAGGTAGGGGTCCCCAGCCTCTGGGCCACAACTCAGTACAGGCTGTGGCTGATTTGGAATTGGGCCATATGAGTGGCTTGCCAGAACACAAGTGGTGTGCTGGCCCACTGCTTGCGCAAGTCGAGCTGCACCCATGCATTTTGGCCCACCACTTGCACAAGGACTGCATGTGTGTGCGCACTGGCCTGCCATTCACACAGCTCAGTTCCCCTCCCCAACCAAGCCGCCAAGCCACAAAGATTGGGGACCATTGTATTAAGGGGTTTGTCCTAAGCAAATGCTGCACTAAACTGTATAGGAGAATGCAATATTTGACACAATATTCCTTGAAGAGATTTCTCTGCTTGAGTCTCTTGCATACACTGAAGCATTTGCATATGTTGAAAAAAGTAAAAGAAAAGCAGTTTTCACAGCCAAATAAGCTACTCATAACATTCCAGATGGGTGCTACATCTAGGAAGCATCGGTAACTCATTCAGAGTTAGAACAGTAAAGTTCTGTCTTTTGCTCCTTTGCTCTGTGATTGTGCCCATGCAATGCCCATGCAATGAAATTCAGTGGACAAAAGGTGGATATTTGTATTAAATGTCTCCAGAGTTGTGTCAAAGTAATAGAAATGTGTTTTTACTCATTTGTAGTGCACCCTTAGCAAAGTGCATGAAGTCTGTACTTTAAACTTCCGTACAGGAAAGCCTTGAGCCAAAAGAACAAGAAATGTCTGATCATTTAATACAGAGCCATAAACAGCATCAAGATCCTTTTAATTTTGGAAAAGCCACATGGTCAGCTATGGCCCTGAGCCTAATAGATTAAAAGGTTGTAAAGCATTTTGCATATTAAAAATGCTACAGAAGCCATTATCAAGAAGCATTTATTTATATACTCCTAAAATAATTTATTAAATGCCCTTTCTACAAGGCACAAATATAACAAAGTGTTAATTTGCCCCAAAATGACAGAGTTTTGAAGAGATGAAACTGCTGTATAATATGAAAGGCCATTGGTCTAAATGATTCTGTTCTATCATTATCAGTAACACCAATTTCCAGAAGTAAGACTTTTCAGCTTGAAAGGCAGAGTGTGAATATGTGAAAACTTTTGTAATCATTAGGAAAAAACCTCACCTACTCATATGTTCCTAGCCAATGTAGTTGTGACCAGTATTATTAAAATATGATCCTATGTTTAATTGCTACCAAAATTAGAGTTTTCCAAATTGCATTACGATATTGTTTTTTTGGGCTATACTGATACATGTCTAAAAATACCAAAGTGGCTGAGTTTTGGAGGGAAAGCATCCATTCCCATCCCACAATGTTAATCTAATACCAATCATGTTTTGCTTGTGCCATTGCTGTGCCTTTGAGTAATTTACTTGCAAAATAATAAAGGAGATAAGATTGTGTAAAAACATGAAATATCACCTAAAAATTGTAGCAATGTACAAATCAGTTCCTGGTAATGTTAGCTGAACTTTATGGAAGTTTAGCCCCACAGACATTCATAGGGGTCAGGTTTGGGAAGAATCCTGTAGCAATAGAAGTAAGCCATCTTTCAAAGGATCTCTTGTTATATATTAATAAATATGAGATATATCAATATCTGTGATATATTAATAATTTAGAGAAGGAATGAGGAACCTATGATTCTCTGGATGTTCTGCTATAAATCCTAGAATCCATGACAATTCATCAGGCTGGCTGGAACGGGGGAAAGTCGGAGCCCAACAATTGTGATCCAAGTCAACATACTTTACGAACAATTTAAGATTGAATACTCTGAGAAGCTATTCCAATATCTAAGGAAGCATAGATAAATCCTGGTAGAGAAAGCTCCTTGTAAATGGAAAGAAGAGCTCACTTTAGGTTAGATGATGTGATACAGTATACAGTTCAAGGAGGGTTTCAGCCAAATCTACCACTGGAAAGTTTCAGCCGCCTTTTTAAATCTACCAAACATATATAACAGAACTGTGCAAAAGCTTATCTTAAGTGGCTGCATGGCTCGTAGGAATGGCCAGTGTGGTTCTAACCTCACAAGCCAGTAACCAAGTACCCCCTTGACCCAACTAAGCCTGGGATAATATGCTACTTCACAACAAACTCCCAAACCAAATTAACCATTTGAGAGATGTGAGTAGTTTCACACTGATGTTTATAGTAGTTGCACCACTCTGTCATATATTATTGGTCAAATAAATAGAAATGCATGTTCGTAAGGGTATGCAATAAATGATGCTGTTGTTCTACACAAACAGGAAAAGTTTGTATAGTTTTTTTTTAACCTTAGTGTTCCTCATCTCTACCCAAAATTATATCCAATGTTAAGAAAACTAACTTGGCTGCTTTAAAAAAAAAGCCAGAGCATACATAGTATTTAGGGGGGGGAAAGGCTTGTTTAATTATAACAGAACAGTATATAAAATCAGGCCATCTGAAAATAAATACAGAACAGCTTGTTCTTACTCCCCAGCACTAGTATTTCAGGAATCAAAAGCTAAGCTGCTGGTTATGGTTTTATTTTTGCTTTAGCAATCAAGCCTTCATAGTCATTTTTAATATGTGCCTTTAAATGCATGCATGAACGTAATGTGGCCTTTCAGTAATGCATGGGCTTCATATTTGGTGGTACAAAGCATCTTCTTGTCAGGAACTTGATGCTTGTAGCAGCTTCTCGGTCAGTCTAGATGTACCTCCCACCCAACATCCAACTGTGCAATTATTAAACTCCGCATTTTCAAGGTCTTTTGTCTGAAAGGAAAGAAGCACCAGGGCCAAGGTCCAAGGTGGCTTGAGGACAGGTTGACCTCTGAAATGCAGGTGTACCTTTGTTCTTCCTATTCTCTCCCAAAATAGGCAAGCATGGAGGAAAGAGGAAGGTTTGACAAGAGTATACTTGGGGAGGAAAGCACTTTTTATTAATTTTAGGAAGCAGAACATTTTCGTAGAGTGATAACAATCAAGGCCACAATCACAGACGTTCCCAGCAGAGCAGCAATCACTATGGCACCGATAGCCCCAGGACCCAGAGACTCTGCAGATGAAAAAGAACAGAAGAGCATTTGGATTTGGCATATTCAGCAAACAATGCAATAATAAATTAGATAAAAATGAGATACACCCAAAGGCCAAAATAATTTAATAGATTATGCCTAAAACCACAGTTGCAGGAGGAGAATACATTACCCCTGCAATTGCTCAATTATATCAAATATATAATGATCCTACCATATTTTCTGAATGAGTGGCGGATACCTAAAGAGCTATGGCTCTTCCCCTCCATTTTTATATTGCTTAAGACTACAGTAGTGGGGAAAGAAAGCTCCAGGCTAGTGTGTTCCACTCCCAGTCCTAGGTCACCACCAGATGATCCTTGGTAGAGCTAAAAAGATAAGCAGCTGCTGTCCAAGATAGGAAATCGTTGCTCCCTCTGTAAAGGGATGCCCATGATACACATTAAAAAAGAATGTAACCACATGATTATGGTCATCTTTTTGATCCCCTCTGCAGGCAACCCTGATCAACCGGGAAGGCCAGTACTTTAAAATAGACCACAAAGTTGAAAGGATATTGCAGAAGATTGCAATAGCAAGCCACGTCTTCATCATGCCACAATAACTGCTAATATTCAAGTGTTTTACTATTTAAAAATATACATGTTATACTCCAACTGAAGTTGTAATATGTTGCCTTCTGACTTCTTGAATTCAAATTGGCAAAATTTAACCAGACTAAATTTTGAAGTCTTAAAACTAGAGATGAAATAATATAAAACTGATATATAGTTGATATATGAAAAATAAAGATAATTGGATAACCTTTTGTGTATGTGTGTTTAAAGTTGAACCAGTAAGTCACAGCAAGAGTAGTAGAGTTGAAGTCCCTGAGCAGAGCCATATTATGATCTGAATGGCACAAGACTAGCTTGTATTAAATGTGATAGCTTCCTGTTTTCAATTTTTCATGACTATTTATTATGATTAAAACTAAATACATTTTTATTTATGATAATTCATTTTAAAAACAAGTCAAAATAGAGGACAGTATTCTATTTTTGTTGATCCATCTGGGATGTTCAGAATAACTTGAATCACTTCTAGTCTGAACAATTTACTCCTGGAAATTTACTCCTGGAAAATTATCAACTGACCACTAAACTGACCACTAAATAATAATATTTAAATAATAATAAATAAATAATAATAAATAAATAATAATAAATTAAAAAAATAATAACTGACCACTAAAAAGCCTGGTCTAGAGGAGGCACAGCAGGGGCCTGAACAGGATAGCGCTCTTGTTCTTCAGAACATCCTATTCCCAAATCTCTCACATTTTGCACTTGCTGACTAAGATATCAGGTGCACATTTGCCATAAGCAGCACTCCTTGCTGATGGGAAGGACACACAACCAATCGATTTGGGTACCCTCTGACCAGAATTCCACAAGCACAATTGAAGTCCAGCTTTATCCCAGGTCTGGTCCCATTGTCCAGCACACAAAACCATGCCCCCTCAGCTCTGCAGAAAAGCCTCTCTCCATGGAACCGGTCCCTGATGCCCAAAAGGTTTGGGGCCACTGCCTTAAACCGTTGTAAACTTAATTGTAATAAAGGAACAAAAATGATCCTAAAAGATCCCATTGGATTGATATAAAAGTGATCCTAAAAGATCCCATTGGATTGATATAGCCAGCCAAGCCTCTTTATGTAATCAGTGGAAAATAAAACTGCTATATGTATATTCAGGACCCATTCAATAATAATACATGTTCATTCTTTCCTTGATGGGCATGTGACCTGAGGGGGGATCTGCCACCCTTCATTAGAAGGCCTGACAAGATGTCACTAGGACCCGCCCAATAATCAGCCTCGCTGCCAAGCATGGATACCATTGTCATTATTCAGATGGTGGAGATGGGTTGTGTCCTCTAGTTCATAATCAGATGTGTATGATGGGAATCCTGTAGAATCTGAGAAGCGGGCAGGAGGGGTGGTTTCTAAAGCTCCTCCACCTGATGGCAGTTCTGGTGAATCATTCCACAATGTTGGGATAGGTTCTTGTGAGTATTCTGCTGGGAAAAACATACAAGTCATTTAGTTTTTTTGGCAATCCAGAGCAGACCAAAACTTGTGCTAAAAAGTGTCAGTACAGCTGAGCATAAACAAGCAGAGAAAGTGGAAAGGAAGTTTTTCTGAGTTTCCCCAAGAGAATAAGGTCCTCTCTAAAAGAATACTTTTTTAAAGGTAGGCGTCTCCTTTCGCAGCCCTTGCAGCACAGCTACAGAAAAAAAGCCTATGGGAGGACTCTCCTGATGAGGTTTTCACTGGATTAAAAAAAAAAAAGCCAGATAATTTGCTCTCCCTGTCATTAGTCTAAGCCACAATCAGTAGTGTTGTACCTCAAAAACATCTTCGAACAGGAACTGCTGCAAAAAATAGAGAGCATTGCCCTCTGCTGGTTAAAGTCTGAAAGGCTGTAAGTAACTCAGCAACTGCTGTGCAGATGATTTTTTTGATAGGCAAGAAGACTAGGTAGATGAGAGAGAGAGAGAGAGAGAGAGAGAGAGAGAGAGAGAGAGAGAGAGAGAGAGAGAGAGAGAGAGAGAGATGATAGATGATAGAATTATTGTTTTGAAGGGGAAAACATGGCTGATGCTCAAGTCTGCTTGATCTGAAATAAAGTTTTAAACAATCCAATTATATTTTATTGAATTTTTATGTACTTTATATTTTCATATATTTTCATCTTAATATTATATCACATGTGGATTACTTCAGGAGATTAGAGTTGGCAAACAAATATATTTATTTTTAATAATTAAATAGTAATCTATGTAATAAATAACACCTTGCAACTTTATAAAATATATCTTTATTAACTGGAAAGCAATAATGAAAAATATCAAAATTTAAACACTTTTTTAAAAAATGGCATGGATAAATTTCTTAACTTATAGTGACCAGCGGAATAGGAGCAAATTCCAGGTTTGTTTCATCTTGCTTTGTCCAAGCAGAGGAGTGAATTCTGGTCATTATTCTGTTTTGCATGCACAAGTCCCACCTCACCGCCCACAAATGTAGACTTTCTCAAATTTGCTTGTCACAGAATGTTATTCTGACACCTTTCCCAGGCCGTCCGCTCAGATTTTGGCATCCTCAGTTTTCCTGCCTGAGCAGGGGGTTGGACTAGAAGACCTCCAAGGTCCCTTTCAACTCAGTTATTCTGTTATTCCTGAGCTAAATAGCGAAGACCCTCATTGAGATCCTATCTCTTTTGCTCCCTCTGGACTAATGAGTTGAGCTGCCTCTAGACATTCATTTTAATAAGTTTTTTGGAAACCTGCAGTTGAAAATTCTTCATGTCTCCTTACCCTGAAGACTCAATTTCATTTGGAATTTAATCCCAAATTGATTGCCCTTTTGGCATTTCTCTTGATACTTCTCCAAAATGCACCCCCAAGAAGCCACCTACCTCTCTCTCTCTCTCTCCCTCCCTCCCTCTCTCTCTCTCTCTCTCTCTCTCTCTCCAAATTCGCTTGTCTTGGAGACTTTAGAATCATAGGCTAGAAGAAGCTACCTTGGAAGTCTTATACTTCAACCCGGCTTTGGCTGCAACCTTCCTCGGCCACACACTTCCTCCTCCTGCCGCCCCATGCAAGGTGGGAGGCCTGAGAGGAAGTGCCTGGTCTGGGCACACAGCCCTCCACGATGGAGCCCCTTCCCAGGGATCCAAAGTAAAAGATGGCTTCCAGGACTGACACATGGCTTGGACGAACTGATCCATCCTGAAGGCGATCTCCAGACCAGCAGCAGCAGTGGTGGCGGCAGAAGGCGAGCTTCAGAGTAGTGGTGGCGGCGGCAGCAGGCAGAAGTGGAGTTCCAGAGCGGCGGCAGCGGAAGTGGAAGGTGAGCTCAAGAGTGGTGGCGGCACTCCAGGATAGTGGGCGGATGTCCTGGGGCTGCATGTGTGCACCGCAGAGAGCAACGATCTCGGGCCCAGTGCAGCATCTCCCCCAAGGGCTGCCTCTGCACCTGCTGGCCGGCAAGGCCCAGAAGTGGCACATCCTCCCATCACGGGCTGGATGAGGGACCCAAGGCAAAGGGGAAGGCAGGCAGATGGCAGTTGCCTGGAGGCCTCGTGGAAGCCAAGAGTGCCAGGCCCAGAAGGAGGCTCTTCAGCCGAGAGCAGTGGGTCTCCCTCCCGTCAGTGTCAGCCTTATTTTCCAGAGCTTCCACGTGCCTCCGCCGGCCTGAACGCCCTGCCCTTCAGATCCCAATGGGGTCAGTGCACAGCTGCCCATGTAAGTAAGGCTGACGGCGGGCAGCCCTCGGGGGAGATGCTGTGCTGGGGTCAAGACTGCTGCTCTGCTGTGGTACGTGCATGCAGCCCCGGGACATCCACCCTCTCTCCTGGAGTGCCACCACCACTGGGCACTGGCCCTATTGGTATCTGTGAAGGACAGGGCACTTGGACCAGTGGAGGTGCATGGAAAGTCTGGAGCTCCTTGAGGCCTTCGGGACAGATCAGGTTGTCCAAGGCTTTGCTCTTCAGGAAGGGCTCCGTCGTGGAGGCTGTGTGCCCAGACCAGGCACTTTGTCTTGGGCCTCAAGAAGTGGTAGGAGGCAGAGGGAGAGAAATGGATTAAGGCTGAAAGAAGCAGTAGGAGGCGGAGGGTGAGAGAAATGGGAAGTTTTGGAGACAAGCACCCTTTCCAGCCCCGCTTCCCCGAGGGGGCACCCAGCCACGCTTACCTCTGCCTCAAGGCTTCTGCTGTTGGAGCGGGTGGGAGCAGCAGAAGGCAGCTGGGCGAGTCTAATCTAGGTGAGCAAGGAGGAGCCGAGATCAGCAAAGAAAGGCAGTTGAGGCAGAGTTGGGGTATGGCTGCCACATGATAGGCCACGACAGAAGGCAGGCAAGCTGGCTAGGCCACGTGGGAGGGCAGCTAGGCCAGGATTCGGGCCTTGCTTGCAGGCTCACCCAGGCAGATCGGGGTCGCTTAGCTGGGCCGCAGGGAGAGCGCCATGTGGGATGCAGCTGCGGTGGAAGGCAGGCAAGCTGGCTGGGCCATGTTGGAGGCAGCTAGGCTGGGATTTGGACTTTACTTGCAGGCTCAGCCAGGCAGATCAGGGCTGCTCAGCCGGGCCATGGGGAGAGTGCTGCATGGGATACAGCCGCAGTGGCGAAGGCAGGCAAGCTGGCTGGCCCGCAGAGTCTGTATGGTCAAGGCAAGCAAGGGAGCCAGACAAAGAATAGCAGCAGCCTTGCTGGGTGAGCAGGCAAGATGAGGAGTGACTGGGTGGGGCAGGACAGGGTGGGCGGGGTGGGGCCAGCCAGTGATGGTATTTGCCAGTTCGCCGAACTGCACGGAATCCTAATCGGTTCACCTGAACTGGTCCAAACCGGCTGCAGCCCACCTCTGGTTCAATTGCCAGGAAAATCAAGGCAGGTGACGAAGTGCTAGAACTAGGGAAGACTGGGGTAGAGTCTCCTCCCCCTTTGCAATTATGAGGTGAGATTCCAAGAAAATTACATTTTCTTTGATGCTGTAATTCATGCCCATTTTCCCCCCTAAGCATCCCTGAAGAAACTGAAAAGCTATTTGTGTTTATATATGGGTAGACCCAGAAGGCAGAAATCAAAGCTCATTTTGTTAGACAGCTTGAAACAGAGGCCCTAGCAAGAACTGGACACATTCTACAGAGCCCTGTTGAAGCCCTGGAAATATCACACCCAGATGAAAACTGGAAACACCCTTCAGAACTACCTAATCATGTTACAAAACCTGTGTAAAAATAATGCCTGCAGGAGTAGGCAAGGAACATCAACAAAACAGAAACACAGCCTCAATCTGTGTGTGGGTGCACATTTATATAGACAAACTGATCCTTCCAAAGGGTTACGTTAGTTGAACAACAGAATTGGACCAAACAAGAGAAAGGAAGGGAGAGAGGAAGGGAGGGAGGAAGGAAAGAAGGAAGGGAAAGTGGGAGGGAGGGAGGGAGGGAGGGAGGGAGGAAGGAAGGAAGGGAGAGGAAGGGAGGGAGGAAGGAAGGAAGGGAAAGTGGGAGGGAGGGAGGGAGGGAGGGAGGGAGGAAGGAAGGAAGGAAGGAAGGAAGGAAGGGACAAATCATTGTCCTATTTTTTTTAGGACTTGCTTAATATGATGCTAAAACACAATCCACTTTCAGTTGTTAAAAGTTCCCTAGAAAAAAGTTTCCTTTGATGGTAAAGTAATTGTTGGGAAAGATTCACCCTCACCCCCAAAAGCCACATGGCTGTATTTTGATCTATCCTAGATGGCTCATCTGCAGGACTTTGCCCTGGCCAGCCTGAATTTACAGAGATATATGGACATGCCAAAAAGATCTCTTTAAAAGTATGCAGCTCTTTAGTTACCTAGTCACTGGAGTATGTATGATGGTCAGGAAAGACCCCTTTCTCTATGCCACTGGAGTGCAATGGCCACTTGGAGGTGGTGTGAAGGAAGAAATTGTGGCCTTGTGCTTTGAAACTATCCTCTGCGGTGTATCAAGCTCCAATGTTAGCATATTTTAGACGTATTTTAAAAAGTTACCTTCTTATGTTGGTCTTCCCATGCCTCTGTCAATAACTCCACCAGCAATTCTATTCTAATGAATGTTTTTCATTTTATTTTGCTTTGCTTTACAATTTTTATAACGTATTTTATACATTGCTTACGGGTCTTCCTCTTATGTTTAAGGGCAAATGCAGTCATGCAATTGTAAAAATGGTAAAATAGTAACTGTAATCATTTGCAGTCCTCAACACGCCCCCCCCTCCCCCAATATTTTAGGGCAGGCAATTTTTTCTGCATCTAGGAACTCAGTTTATTATTTGCTTAAATAATGAAGAGCAGACCAGAACAACTTCATATATGAAAAGGCCTAGCTATGCTGATGCATGCAACATGAAGCACAAATTATGTTTTTCCAGATGGCAGTTTGTTTCTATATTGTTAGCCAATGATCATAACTGGGGAGAGAGGTAGAAGTGAGGGAATTCTTCCTTTGCTGCTTAAGAAAGCTGCAATTTTATTACTTTCTTACTTAGGAATAAGCCTAATAGAATTCACATTGGAATACATGTAAGATTACATTAGGTAAATAATAATTTAGCTAAACATTTTGTACAAAAGGTTGCTCCCGAGAATGGTTTTACTGAGTAGGAGCAAAGGGGGGGAGGTTTGTAAGATCCAGCCCATTATGTTATATATTTTTACTGAATTTGGAGTTACTGTATATACACACTGCCCTCGAAATATATTCCCGTCCATCTAGTAAGACTCATAAGTACATGTGCTGACTAAGAGTTTTTTTCAACTAACTTCTAAGCCACCAAACAAGGGTCAATCGAATAATTTTTTTTATTATCTGCTCTTCCCACTTAATCAAAATTGATACATGGAAATATTTGCAGAATTGGACGGTAAAAACTACACTTCAAAGTGCAAACTTTAAAGAAGGAACATAAACTATCATTTGGGTGCCTTGTTTGTACAAAGTAGAAAGCTAGTTTGGTGTACTGGTTAAAGCAGCTGGATTAGAAACTGGAAGGCTATGAATTCTACTCCTGATTCAGGCACAACTGAATGGCCTTGGGACATTTTTTTCTCTCAATCCTCAGGAGGAGGAAAGGGCAAAACTGTTTTTGAAAATTTTGCCAAGAACAATGGCATAGATTTTTCCAGGCAGTCACCAAGAGTCAATTATGACTGGAAGGCACACAAAAACACGAAACAAAACCCAGCCCTAATAGATTATCTCATTAGAATCTGAAAGAGACAATCTTGCCCTGGAAGAAAAGACAGGAGCAAATCAATTTTGTTGTGCTATGCAGAGCACCTTGAAATTACCAACCAGGTCCTTTCTGACTTTGAAATATTGGCAGCTATGAAATTTATGATACGGAATTGGTCATCTCCATCCCACTAAATATTCTGATACATAGGATTGTCCCCTTATTTGAGCGTTAAGCAGGAATTTGAAGTAACCATCACTGCAATACTGTTTTAATGCTTTGAACTATTTTTAGTTTTTTTTCAGATTTACCAATACAGGCAAATCTGTACGGTAGTTAGGAAAAGGGATCTATTGGTTTTTGAAAAAAAAATAGGTGTGCTGAATTTAAATATACAAAATACCAACAGTGAGCTTTTGCTTAGAAGGGCACAATGGGAATTGTGATTGTGTCTTTTCGGAATCAAGAATATAACTCTCTGCACACATTAAGCTCACTTATTTTTAGGCAGCACTAAGCCTGTTTACTTCAAGTTAGCCTTTATTAGCCCAAAGAAAATGGATAATACAACTATTCTTTTATTATTTGCTTTCTCTTTATAGACTTGTAATAAGGGAAAAACTCTTTATAGACTTGCAAGGGAAATACTTCAGACACTTGACTCAACTGCTTCCATATCACCTTTGGGGCTGGCTGGAATATCTCCTTGCTCAGCTTGGATGACTCCGCTTCAGAAAGCCAAGCCATCGACACAGAAAAGCAGGGCCCAAAATGGTCTTGGAAACCAACAGTGGACTGTCTGGATCCAGGTAGCCACCATGGGCACGTGGCCAGTATGCGGATGAATGAAGACCTTCTTCGGAGGCACAAGGGAAGACTGTGGTGCAGTTCTCAGTCCTGGGTCGGCAGAGGCTGAACTTGTTAAACAAAACTTGTTTACAAGAAGTCTGTCTATAATACCCATCCAGGCGTACCACCACGCTGGCCCTACCCTTTCCATCATTCTGTTTGAGCTTGGCAACTTGCCTCCTCCGGAACCAAGCTGGAAAAATTCATTTGAAAAAAAAAAAAAGCAAAACACAATGGGCAAAAAGTGATCATCATAATGCATACTATACAGTAGCCCTCAACTTACAACCGCAAGTGAGCCCAAAATGTATATTGCTGAGAATTTTGTTAAGTGAGGTTTGCCCCATTTTATGACTTTTCTCGCCACATTTGTTAAGTGAATCACTGCAGTACTTAAAAGCCGTAACACGGTTGTTAAGTGAATCTGGTTTCCCCTTTGACTTTGCTTGTCAGAAGGTCACAAAAGGGGATAAACGTGTGTCTGGGACACTGCATCCGTCATAAATGTGAGTCAGTTGCCAAGCATCCAAATGTAAATCATGTGACCATGGGGATGTGGCAATAGTCGTAAGTGTGAAAAATGGTCATATGTCACTTTTTTCAGTGCCGTTGTAACTTTGAGCGATCACTAAATGAGAACTGTCGTGAGGACACTCTGTATAACCTAATTAAACTGATTATTACTACTCGTATCATTGTTCAGAACTCTATGCAGATGTGCAACTGGTAATGTTGCACACTTCAGTTACAAGTACACATGAACTGAAATTAATTAAAAACAGCCAGTTGGTAAATGCATGCTAATTATATTACTATATTCAAATGCTGCATGAACAAAATAAAACAGAAAAACTAGACACATAATTTATTCTCCTACAAATAGAAAGATTTTCCATTTGGCTGTGGAATCTTGTATGCAGTATTAAAACCTACAGCATGCAGGAAAAATTGTAGAGCAGATCATAAAGCGATCAGCATAAGTATCTTGAAAACAATGCAGTTGCTTGCCAGAATTTAACTCAGATTTATAAAAAGCAACACTTGCCAGATTAGCTTGATCTGTTTTTTCTTAGATAATTTTAAGATCCGTTACAGATATTTCAGCATACAATTTCACAAAAAAACCTTTGATTACAAATTTCCAACTCCTGGTTAAGCTTGATTGGGTTTAGAAGCTAAGAAAGGATTTAGCTTCAAAAGACCACCAGTAAATATAAAGGCTGTCAGCTAGTTAAAAAGCATCCTGAATGAAGGCAATGGCAGACCATGCCCATATTGTTGCAAAGAAAATTCATGATTATTTTCCTCTAGCAGGAGTTGAGAATGAATTAGAATGTCTTTCCTTAACAGAAACAAACAAACAAAAAACCTCTCTTGTTGAGCATCTTCTAAATTTTATTACATCAAAAGTAAATCATCCTCATTCATTTTTCTTTCTTTCTGCTGGTGTCCAGTTTTTAGAAACTGCCTGGGCAAATCCCTACAGTTTTCTTGGCAAGGTTTTTCAGAAGTGATTTACCATTGCCTCTTTCCAAAGGCTGAGAAAAAAATGACTGGCCCAAGTTATGCAACTAGGCTTATGCCTAAAATGGGACTAAATTCAGTCTCATAGTTTCTAGCCTGATGCCTTAACTACTACATCAAACTGGTTCCCATTCATTATCATGATATCATTATCAAATGTTTAAGAAAATTTTTGAAAACTGTTTTTTAAAAAAGTCATAATTTTACAGAAATTAGTTTTTTGTGTATTTAATTTCTTATGTGAAAAATAGAGATTAGTCTTCTTTGCTGTTTAATAGAAAACTGTCCAACTTTTAAGAGTTCTAAAAATAGCAAGACAAATGTACAATGCTAAATAAAAAAATTGAGTAGCTTAACATCTGCCGAGCTTTGAATCCAAATGACAGAAAAAAGATACATCTCTTAAAATATATTTACTACGATATTCTGAAACCTCTTCCACTTCCATATTCTTCTCCCGCTTGTACTTGTGATTGAAATAACATTTATTTCCAGAAATATCTACACAGCCTCTATTTTTTGCACTAGCCGGAACCTTGAAATCAGAATCTGCATAAAAATTCTTCTCTAGGACACAAGAAGCGGCAAAGGACTATGGGTCAGTGGTACAATGTGTATTTTTTTATTTAAAGATTTCAGGTGTGATTCCCACCAAATAATCCAAGTAAAGAAATCTCAAACATTAGTGCAAGAACATATTTTTTGTCTGAAATCTCTGAGAACTACGTACTTCAAATGGGAGAGAGACAAGGGACAGAGTGAGCACTAAGAGAGTCTATTATTTCTCTGAACGTTGAGTATTCATTTTGCTTGGAGTAATATTTTACGCTATCCTCAATGCTTTCAGCAGTTGTACTGGTTCATGGTTAAGATCTGAATGTATATTCTATTCTGCATTTATTTTCCAGAAACACACACATATACACACAGACAGATAGACACCCACACACCCCTTCTACACTAACACTTTTTATAATAATATCTGTTTTTATAAATTTTTATAATACTGAATCGCACTGATATTTGAATTGTAACTTCCACAGAACTGCACAAATTGGAGAAATTAATCCATCCACAAATCAGTTCTGCAATCTATTATTCAAACTAAGCATCCTGAAATACATCTGGTATCATAAATTCATAATTCTTTCTGCTAACCATGTGCAGATAAAACCCCCAAGAATGTCACGGAAACTTACATGTGGCTCATACATCTTACTCCAACAATTTGTTTTTACATTTCAGCAAGCGCTATCACTCTTATCTTCACAGATACAGAATTAAATACTTCCATTAAAAATGGAATGATAATTCCCAGTTGTAAAATTATACCCAAAACCATGTCCCATGATGACTTTTTCTGAACACACCTAAGTTAACTGTATCAATAAAGATTTAAGGATTTCCAGACTCTTCAAGGGTATAAAGCTGAATTATGTTCCAGCTAACCAAACTGAAACTAGTTACACAACCTTAGTCTCATAAACATGTAAATTTTAATCTCATCCAAGTTTTTTTATTATTATAATATGTTAGTTATCCATATACTGCCTTTATGGAAAAGAAATTTAGAATTCTGAGAATGCACAGGAAAGGGAAAAATGCTATTTGAAATATGTTGGCCAGAAAGAAATTCAACTTACCAGTTTTTACAAAAGAGATGAGGACTCCAGACAGTGTCAGTAGGATGAGGTGAAATGTCTTGGTATGGGGCATTGCCTCTTCAAAAAAGTGAGATGCTTCAGGGAATGCTCAAACTCTCTAAATTCTTAATCAGGAATCAAATTTTCTGAAGCTAAATCAAAACCTTGTCCAGTCAGTTCTCAAATCTCTAGACATGTAGAAATATACTAAGCAGAACGACAAATACTCTATAGCCTCATTTAAGCATGCAGTCTGTCTGATTAACTGATTTAAGCCAGAAGGCAGTTCAACCTTCTAACAATTTTGTCTTATTTCTCCACCCCCAAGTTCTACAGTTGGCCCTTGGAAACTCAATCCTCCCCCAACAGAGTAAAGCATACATTAATTGGCAGTTAACTGCAAAACCCCAAAGGCTGCACTAGGCTTCCAATAACTGGACTACATATTTTAAGTTTAGGATAGCAATGAATAACCCTATTCATTAAACAGTTCTATACTTAAAATAGGCATGTGTTTGCCTAGGGTGTGAGAGTGCAAAACAGAAGGATGCCAATCGCATGTTTAAAGTAACAGATGTTAGAAGTTTCTGAATTCACCGTTATCTACCAATTCTTGACTGAGTTTAAAATATATCCCAGGTATCAGATCCATGTTTATTAACCATTCTCTAATTTAAATTCCAGACATTTTGTGAAAGATCTTTTCCTGTTTGCTACGGCATGGCCGAATTTCTTTAACCTGAAAGAATTATATAAATGATGAGTGGATATTTGAATCTTCCAGAAATGTTCAATACTTTGAAAAGTCAGAATCCTGATGTTCAAATATATATCAGAAAGTATTTTTGAATAAATTAGAGGTAGAAGTCAAATTTTCATTAGGAAGAAAATTCTTCAGCATACTTATTTACATGAGAGCTTAGAAAATCAGCTAAGATCAATTAGGCACTTGAAATTATTTGCAGTAACTTTACATTCAAACTGCAGTGAATGACTTTTTTAGCTCAATTTACTGGATTGTTCAAATAACATAGTTTCATTCTGGTGAGCTTTTATTTTTGATAAAAGTATGAAAAATTATTTTAAGAACCAATACACATCCTTGATCTAATTTCAGTTTCTAGGATTGAGTTTTGAAAAGTATTTTGTTGTAAATTGTTATTCAGAAGCACAATGGTAGTTTTTAAATAAATGTTTCATTTTAATAGGAATTCATTTATTCCTATTAAAGACAAATGATTTTGTTTTATAAGAGTTCCATTTGAGTTTTTATAGGCATTTTCCTTATATTATTAAATATATTACAATTATATTTCTTTCCCTTGCAAATGTTGCATGTCAGCCCCAGTTCAATAGCCAAACTACTACACTGTACTAATAGTCAAATGATAAAATCACTATCTGAATTATCTTCAAATAAATTTAAACTACTTCTTGTTGAATCATAATTCATATCAGTATGCATATAAAAGCTTGGTACTTTTGCAAGGAAAAACTTCACTGTGTTTCTATAGTCAGTCTGAAATCCAAGGCTAAGATCCTCTCTGCCACTTGGGCCACTCAAACTGTTTTGATTCAAATTATTTGCATGTGAAACTGCAGACTTTTCCATTTCATATGTAAAACTACTGTTTGGAAGTGCTTTGGGTTTGAAACACTTCCAAAATCCTCAAAACACTCTGTTTTGAACTCACAAAGTTTCAGTCAAAAATTTTCCACATCTCTAACTGCCATATTTGTTCCCCTGGCAAATACTCACTTTTACTCACACCTGACCATAACTGGAAAAATGTGAAAAGATGATTCTTATTACTTGGCACCACAGAGATAGACAACAGTTAGCCTAGCACAGGCTGCCACTGCTGTATGTTAGTTTGGTGAACTGATATTTAAAGAGGTAATCTATAAACTTATTTGGTATATTGGCATAAACACAACGTGGCTTATAAAATAAAAAAATATAAAGAAATAAACAGTAGCAGCAAAAATCATAGCATATCCTACAATGCCATCATCTGAACATTGGTGATCTGGAGTATTATTCCTTTTTTCAGCAAGGTAATACTTCTGAAATGAATTCCATTAAAACTATTTAAATGCCCCAGCACCATTGAACATTGTAAATTGAAATACTACTTAATAGTTGTATCACACTTGCCAGGATTATTATTCTAGAGGGTTTCAGTTCAAAGCTCAGTTTGTACCTGTTAAGGGAGAAAGCTGCCTGTGTGATGATCACTATAACACCATTATTAATAAGGTAATTAATTGACATTTGAATAATTGTAACTATCAGTATTAATTCTGCAGAGAATTGACTTTAAACATTAAAATCTGTCCAAACTAAAATTTGAAAAGCTTCTAATAAATCACAGCTTAGGAGTCTTATCCATTATAGTACAGAGTTCAAGTTGCAAACATCCATTTTCTACCAGAATCTTGAGATCACCAACTACAAATGGTGGCTCAAAGAAAAATATTATTTATTAAATTATTAATATAATTTAGTTCTAATCCTACTTATTTTCATCTTTTAAGTGTTCATCTATATTTTTATAACCTATTTTATGCCTATTTTACTTGCTCAGTATTGAATATTATATTTCTATATGCTTGTAGGTGCTTCTGACATGAATAAAGAAAATTATTTACTGGACTCCATGGGTTCATATAGTGGAATGTTTTGCATAGATAGTATCAGTCTGTCTAATTTAAGTCTGAGATCTTTGTCAACTGACTGCAAATCAGTCAGGTTCTATTTAGAGATCTCAATCTGTCATCCGTCTTTCCATGAATTACAAGATTATACAAAAGAAAGGCTATTATTATTATTAGCAGCATAGCAGTAGTAGTATTCAAATAAGGCAATTGTTTCCTGAGCTTCAAATTTTACCCATGCCACTTTTTACTAAAATTAATTCAATTTAGAACTGGCTTCTTACATACTCAGAATTGTTTGTATACACGTTCTTGGACTAGCAAACTGATCTAAGATAAGGACTACATCCCTATTTACATAATTTATTTACATCTCACTCTTAAAAAATTGAGACTTATGTGAAGACAGCAATTATAAAACACTTATTTGGAAGTAAGGCTAATAAAATTTAATATGACTTACTTTTGAGATGAGATGCACAGAACTGTTCTATAGGGCTCTATAAAAAATATTCAGTTACACTAATTTAAAGAAAGGGAAGTGGAAATTCTAAAATGTTTATACAAAATTTGAAACACAGTTACTCTGATTTTTTTATTTCCTTAACTCATCCCAAAACAGCTATTGAAATCTAGCACAAAAACTAAGTGTTAAGGAGTGTAGACTTAAGTGTTAAGTCTACATTTAAGAGTCACATAAAATCACCTCTGTTCCCAAAAGACAGCATCTTTTACAAGTAGATCAGAGAGCCATTTTTTTAGTTTGAAAAAAAACAAAACAACCACCACTGTTGATACAGTACTTGCCGTTTTGATCACACTGGGCTTATTAAAGTCTCTATTCTAGATGTTTACAACTGTAAAAGGAACTACCCAGACTTGGTCTCTTGCATAAACAAAACAAGAGTGTGAATAAGCGAATGTCTTCAAATGGAAAAAAGTGAAGAGTGAATCTTTGTCAAACATTTGCAGCCTTGATGTTTATTTCCACCTCTAAAATTATCAAAAACCAGCAACATTCCTCTAGGATTACAAAATAAAGCAACTGCTGTCCCTCCAGTTCCTGTGTACTTGCTTGTCAATTAAGCAAATGGGTATTTGTAGCACTTCAAGGCTGAGTTTAGCACCACAAAAGATTGCCAAAACTGGCTTTGACAAAAGCAAACAATATGTGCAATAATACAACCAGGTTTTATTTTTTTTTAAACTTCTCGTTTCCCCCCCTCCCTCTTATTATGTAGAGTTCAGAGGGAATTTAAAGATCTGTTGTAAACATAACTACCACCTCCCCCTGCTTCATAAGTATACAAAGTAAAGGAGAGCAGATTTGTGACAGGTTTCTCTGTGCTAGTAGATGCAAAACTATTTACAAGTCTATAACCATCTCTATACAGTTATTGTACAAATTGGCATTTGAAAGGTGAGGAAGGGAGAGGAAAATCAATTGAAAAATTAAAGCAACTTCAGTTGTTTTCTTCAGGTGATGACAAAAAAAATCTTCACACAGCAACTTCACTGCGCAAGTGGGAGATTGGGGTGGGGGACAAGGGTGGAGGTACCTAAGTGCACTGAATTCTGGAATATAACTGGGAGAAGATGGATGATATAAATATGGGCACAGTGAAAGTAATGGGAGAGTGTACTATGTAACAAAAACCAGCACACTGCATTTTATTCTTTTTTTTTTTTTTTTTTACAAACATAGACACTGCCAATGCTCAAATTCCTTGTGTCATTTATTTTTCTTTGAAGACGACATCTCCTGTTCCTTGGCATAATGCTGCTGCAGAACTTACAAAATCCTGAATCACCATCATATGTAACCAGATGAAAATCTGGCTACATTTCATGCTCCAAAGGTAGTGTCAAATCCTCATACAAAGCCAACTGATGAACATACATATGGTAAAGATCCTATGTGTCTCTGAAACGAGACAAATTCACAGCAGAAGGGTCCAAAATAACTGGCCCAATCACAATGGAGGAAAGAGAATTACAGGAGAAATTCAGCCTGAAGTAAGTGCCTCCTCCCACAACTTGAGTCCCCAATTGTTCAAGAAGGCTGGATACGCCGAAGCCTGAACTCAAGTAGCGTTGACACCACCACTTAATGACGACAGACTTGAGCTTCCCCAAATGCAATGTGCTGAAGATAGGCTGACAGGGATGTGCAATGCCAGACCAATCCAAGCTGAAGGCTGCCCACCACAAAAATTTTCTGCTGTTGGCAGTTTTACAGTTAATTTATGAATGCACCTCCTGAAACTGGAAGGCATGGAAGTCAGTATCTGCATGGCATTTTGGTTCTGAATGACATCTGTTAACCATGAGCTCTCCACCATGATTGCACCGGCTTATTGTTGTGAAAGTAATGACAGAAGGGAAGGAAGCTACCATATGTAGACCTCCAGATGGCTTTCCAAATAGCTTGGGAGAAAAAAAAAATCACTCACAGTGCTTTGAATTCAACCTCTGAATAAATCTTCTTTTCTGCCTACCCAGTACAAAAACCAAAGACCAATATAAATGAAGGTGGCTGTGCAATCCTGGGCAGAAAGCATTTGTTGAAGCAAAAACAGCAGCCTGAGATGATTGATTCTGTGATCCATTTGCAAGGCAAAGATGACAGTAGTGAAGAGAAAGAACTCTGTCCGGCAGTGGAGAATGCATGGTTAACAGACATTGGAAAAGCCAGGTGAGTGGTATTTACTCAGTAGTCATCCAACGTCTCTATTTCTCCCATATTGAGCCGTTCTGATGAAGCATTGACTGAGAAACCTGAAAAAGACAGTCCGAGTTTACAATTTATCAGTTCACAGATGAAATGTTTCATACTTGCCAATTTACATGTAATTAAACAACCATATGAAATTATAGATTGTAGTTAAGAAAAAAACTTTCTAGTATATCAGTTCAGTACTTTTAAAGCCTTGATTCATGTAATAAAAGTATTATTGAAGAATTCTCTTGATAATCACATATTTTATAAAAAAAAATACATACCCACTATCTACTGTTTTTTAGGAATCTAACAAATCAACAGAATGGAGCATATGAAGTTTAACTGCACAGATGTGTACATAAAACTTTAGCAGCTGTTTTCTTGCATACATCTGATTGCAGAAGTAATAATCTGTGAAGCAAATTCTGGGGACTAAAAGGGAGTTGACTGATAAATAAAACTGCAATCCCAAGAGGAGAAAAAATAGTTATAAGCAACTCTTCTATCTTAGTTTCTATGTTCTCTGTGGGACTCCATTTATTTAATATACCATATTAAATTTCTGGTTTATTGCAGAAAAATGTGCAAGATATTTATAGCAATGATGTTACATCATGAGAGCCAGTCTGATGGGATGATGGCTTCAGTCTAGAAACTGGGAAATCCTGCCAAAGATACTTGGATAATTTTAGGCCAGTTGCTCTCCCTCAGCTCTAGGGAGAGGGAAGCAGCAAACTACTTCCATAAAGTTTTGCCAAGAAAACTGCAGGGATTAGTCCAGGCAGCTGTCAGAAGTTAAGGCTGACTTGAAGGCACACCAATGTTACAAATTAATTATAATTTGAAGGTTCTAAAACTCACCTAACAAGCTTGGATCTGCACGAACCATTTTTTGTTTCTTCTTCTTTTTGCCACTCTGCACCGCTTCAAAACTGGACTGCTGATTGTTGCTCTGATTAGTTTGAAAGACTGTATGCAAAGAACTATGGTTCATCCCCCATACAGAATCCTGGAAATAAAGGACATATTTTAAGGTAAAATTAAAATACTTGCCTAAGAAGCATTCCCCCTATTGTAGGAACGTATCAGAAGATATTTTCATATGCTATCAGTTACCTGATAGACATTTTCCAGATGACCATAGTTTATTCCATTTACTTTTTATCTATATACAGTTTTAAGAAAAGCTTCAAGATGAATAGTTTCTATATTAATACATCCATGCTCAAACATGCTTCCTTTTTAGGAACAATTCCACATCCATCTGATGCATTTTTCTCTGCCTGAGTAATATCTATTTCTGACTTGGAAATATTCCCCCAAAACAGAAATATGAACCTGCTGCTGCCGTTGTTGGTTGGCTTTTTGTTTGGCACGGCGCTCAAGAAACTGCTTGGCAAATTCCTTGGCTTCAGGGGTGTCCCCAAGATAAGCTCTGATGTAATCATGAACCTCATAAGGAGATTCCACTTCTTTCAGGAAAGAAACAAATGTGGGAACTAGAACAAGAAGAAAGATTCAATTGTGAGAACTCTGTAAAGAATGTTCAGTAATGCAATGGACAAGAGTTTTCCAGTATCAACTATTTGATAAACGTCTTTAAAAACTTTATGTAAAACAAAATTATTTCTGCTTGAATAAAAAAACAAAAAATGTTTCCTATTGTCACTGAATTACTTACTAATGAAAACAACAGGCTACTCCTACTTTAATTTTTCAGCAATGCAGAAAGTCCTGTGCTAAGATCTACAATTCAAAAGTATAAGTGGTATTATGCAGCACAATTTATATATCCACTCCTCAAGAATATTGAGCAATGAGTATTGGATCTTCTATAATTTTCTCATATTTATTTAAACTATAAAACAGTATCATGGATTTAGAATGCAATTATGATACTTCTTGTAATATGTGGTAGCATGCATGGTATATATTGTAAGATGCTTGTACCTTTTACTACTGCTTACCATCCAAGTTGTTAGCTGTGTTGAGTGCATGAAGCATTTGTTCACACCACTGAGTGAATCCATCCTGAGGTTTATTAACTCCCTGAAATAATTTCAATAACTTTTCTTCTTCTTCTACCTTCTTATTATGCCTGCTCGTAACACCTATAGATTTACTGGGACAAAGAAAAACACTATCACAGCAGAGTATGAGGAAGAGATGTAGACTGCCAGGAACAGTATAGGAAGAAACCAGAAAACTCCAGCAATCTATCAATTATATTAAAAAATCATATGGGTGTACAATAAGGTATAATCTTAATAGATGCAGCCAGCTGGACTTACTATCTATCCATTTGCTCCTACTTATACTTATTTGGCTCCATACTGGGCTGGACTATCCTTCCCCACCTGTTCAATGATTACCTTCCATCTTTCTATCTGAAAAACATGTGTCACAGGGAGGCAGTCACGGCAGAGGTCTTGCCCTGTGTGCATCATCCTGGATATTACTGGACCTAACATATATGCTAGAGTAGGTTGTAAGCCACCCAAAGTTCAGTATTAAGATGGGTGACTATACAAATGTTTTAGGCGGGCGGGCGGGCGGGCAGGCGGGCAGGCAGGCAGGCACGCAGTGCCTTGCTAGAAACCTGGAAAATGTGAATTCTAGTCCTATTTTAGTCATGAAGGCCATGAGGAAGGCTTTGGATCAGTACTCTCTCTTAGCCCAACTCACCTGACAG